GTTCCCTCCCTGAAAGCCAGGGTGTGAATGTTTGAACTATTCTACTTTTCCCATTTGGCTTCAATGCAGAGTGGCTGAAAGAACTGTATTAAAAACTGCCCCTGGAGCACTCAGGGCTGTAATTCTGCATGTCCTGGATGCACGGCCAGCTGCCAGGTCCCTATTCAAATTGCTCTTGGGTGTTTCTTGTTTGCTGTAGGTGAGTCATCTCAAGCCTTCCTTCTCCTGTCCCTTCACTATGGTCTATTGTGTTTCCATTTCTCCTCCATAGCCACTGACAATGCTCAGACGCACTTGTCCCCTGGTTTCATCATACCCAACACGTGTCTGAGTTACCTTTATCTGCAGGAGAGCAATTGAGAGCTGCACTGAAGGAAGGTAAGGACACTTTCTAAAACTCCTTGGCTCCATATGAATCAGAGCAGGAGCTTCTGCCTTTTCAGCTGGACGCTGACATGTCCCCATGTTTGCCTGTTTTCCAAGAGGACGGATAAAGGGCAGGGATTGAATAAAGAGCTAAGGATCCAGCCCCAAGGCAGGCTGCTTATTGCACAAATTAATAAGTGTTAGTGACTGCCTCTGGAATAGAATCGAGTTTAATGAAGTCTTTCCCCAACACCCACAGAGTTGACATATCTGCAATGAAATGAGATGCAAAGAGAACTAAATCAAATTGATTATTTTATGGCAAGTTTTAGTGAGGAATTAACTGTGTACTTTTAATTGTGTATTAATCGACACTGTGGCACAGGTGATTGTAATATTCCAGGTAAGTCAATACATTAGAAAGGTCAGGTTGTCTGGCTTTAGCCAGAGTACACAACAGATCGTGGGTTTGTTGTGATTTTCTCTTATAGTTTTCAAAACTTTCACTGAAACTGATTTTTGAGAGAGATAAAAAGGAAGATTTTACCAAGCCTTGAGCTCATGCTGGGTGGACGCTATGGATAATCTAATGCAAAAACATATATATCTAAAAATTACATTTTCCCATTTGGATTATTTTCTGCATTACAATAGAAGCAGTGAAGCATAATTTGAGAAAGGAACCGAGGAATCTGTGTCTGATCTGGAGGCTGGTAGTTCATGTTCCTTTTTAAACCAGTCAAGCTGCATTCCAGCTGGTCTGAATGAGCCCCCCCACCAGGATAATATCCTTGAAACTTAATCAAACAATCTGTATCTAGAAAGGAAGCTTAAGGATGAGAATGAACTGACTCCGGTTCCTCTCAGCTTCAGAGGGTTTTCTTCTCATTTTGAGTAAAAAAAAAAATGCATCAGCATCATCTCTTTTCCCTTCTCAATCCCCAAAACTAACCTCAAAAAACCCTCATAAAATAGACATCTTGCCAGCAGCATCTCCCAGGTCTGGTGGAGGTTTGCTCCATACTCACAGCTTACTACAGAGACCAGCCTGGTGCTTTTCATATGGAGGACAGAGAGTACAAATTGGTCATACCTGGTGGTTGTACCACGAACTAATAACCATAAATAATAGCCCGGACAGTGAAAACAGCCAATGGAGACACCAAGGCAGCATCACAAGAGATAGCACAGGGTTCACAGCTGGACAGAGGTCCTCAGTGGTTGATAGTGATTCTGCCCATTGGGAACATGCACATGGCCCAAGAGCACCTGAAGACTCCCAGTTCTCAGGCAAGTCCCTGCACACTGAGAATCCTCAGCTTCTTCTGTAAACTCATTTGCTCATGTGACGATTTTAGCTGGGTGCCAAAATGGGGCTTGGTGCTTAGCTTTTGGCAGCTCATGTCCAAAATGGTGGTCTTTGGTGAAGAAAGACACCAACGAGACCCATGCAGGAGCCCCTTATTTTTCACAAAACCTCTTTGGCTGCACTTTCAGTAATTTTAGCATTGAGAGAAGGTGTTTCAAATGAGGGAAAAATTGATTCGTTCATACTGGAGGCCTGAGCACTTTGGGAAGAGCGTAACAGTTTCATGTTAATGACATGGAGTTGCTCATTTATACAACTCTAGACTCACGTATGGGTGTGACAGACGCAATAGTCTTTACAGCAGTTATTTCTAGATGCTATCCAGAAGCAAAGAGCTGTGACATTACTTGCTTGGTGACTTGAAACCCTGACAATTCGATGCCATTTTGTATGTGTGCATTGTCACTTCTGCTGATACTCAGTTTTGTCTATAGGTGGCAGTGACCTTTCATTTTTTCTTTAAAGTAGGGCAGAAGCACACACACATGTCTATCTTACTAATTTTACCGAAGGATGTGTCAGGACTGTGAGGCTGTGCCGCTGACTGAGTTCTGCACCCAGAGGAATGGCCACACACTTCTGACCTTCCTTCAGCAGCCACTTTACCCCAGCGCACAGCAAACATGCAGTTGTAATGCAATGTAATACATAATAAATTGTAATGCACAGAATGCAAACCTCAGTGCAAAACAATAATCTATTACTGTTGCAAGGAAGGTGGAGAACTGTGTTGAGTATTTTGGGATTATATTCCAAGAGGATTACGTAGCAAGTTTGTGCCATTTTTAGCAAAAATAGCCTCAAAGTCTTATCCAGCTTTCTATGGGAGAGCTCTGGTGAGTGAAAATACCTACAAATTCCACATGACCACTGTGTGTGTTTTATTTCAGTGAGAATTGTAAACTCAATGGTAGAAAATGGGTAATCTCTCCTAGAGCAAAATATGACATAGATTGGAGCCTGTGATCTCTGCTCTGCATTAGTTAACTTACTTGATGTGAGCAGAGGTGCACCAACAGGAAACTGGGGTAACTGAGAATCAAGCTACACATCATTGTCAAAATAAATAAAGAAATTAAAGATGAATTTTCTTCTCTTGCTCCCTTCAGATAAGCACTGATTTTACAGCACATGTGAAAAAGGAAGCACGTAACCTGCAAATATTCCATCCTCTGCTTAAGTTGTCTCCTGGCATAAACCAGGCGGCCCTGTGAATGGAAAACAAAAGTAAATCCTCCAGATCCAAGCAGATACTAAATTTACCATCGAGACTAAGCAGTAGGATTTGAATCTTGTCTTCTTCTCTTCCGATAGGATAATACTTAAAGTTGCTAGGAAACGGAATTACATAGCAAGGACAAGAGGCCATTGTACATCCATGGGGAAGCATTGGCTGTTTTCCACCATAAATCAGAAGTTCTGATTTATAGTGGAAATATCAGCTGAGAAGATAAAATCCCTGTAAAATAACTGCACTCTGAAATCAAGGCTCAGCCTTACAGCCACTATTTATGCAGTGATTCTCAGCAGTGCACGACTGCATTTCATGTTTCAGCATCAGTGAGGGCCATTCAGTGTCCAGCACGGCATTAGGCATTTAGCAGAGAACAATACCCATCTCTGGAGAGAGGCCCAGCTTGGATTTCACGTCAGCTAGGATGCAGCATGAAATAGAAACCAGATCTGGACCATCCCTGTAAAGCAGAGGTTTGTAGATCGGGGTTAGGAAAAACCCACAACCAGCCTGAGCTCTGTAAAGAGTAACTGGAAGCAGACACTTGAGGCTGAAAGGAGAGCTGCCCCCCTTCTTGCATTCAAATTCTACTGAACGCAATTTAGCAAAACTACTCTTTTCCTTTAACTAAAATTCCCCAAAAGTTGCTCTCATCCATACCTCTGCAGCTTCACTAATATGCACTGGCATAAACCAGAGCTACAGTAAACCAGAAGGGCACTTAGTACCTATAGCGGCTGTGCAGGACATCCAACAGGATGAGCACTGAGGCTGGAGCTGACCCTCAACCTCTCTCTTTCAAGGTGTGGCTCAGAATAGTTTGTCCTTCTTGTTTGTGTATCTTTACCAGTATAGATACATATATATACTGAGCCAGTCAATAGGAAACTTCCTCTTGACTTCAACCTTGTTTGCCTGTCAACCATGTTGAAGGGAGCGTATTTGGTCCCAAAGAGTTCACAGTCCTAAAGCATAGCATATATATATATATAGGGTATATAAATGTATTTTTGATTAAGGGCGAAAGAAAAGGAAAAAGAAAGAAAAAAACACTAACCAACAGGTTTATGTATACTTGTACATAGGAAAGAGGCTAAAATTGAATCAAACTCATTGCTCCTGAAATGAAGTTGAAAGAAATCAGAACAGTTTCACCAAGTGCTGAATAATCTAATGGACTAATAGTAAATAACTAGATAAAGTTATGCTTGGACTGCAGTCAGAGCTGTGACTCCAGAGGTATGAACATAAGCAAGCCATTTGAAACTGACTACCTTGGGTATCAGTAGTGCTGCACCTGTGGCAACACAAGATGCTTGAAAAACACATCCAGGATCATGGATGATGGTGCCTGGTTCAACTTGTTGCTGACCTGCTACAGCTGCAGTCTTGGCAGCATTCAAACTGGCCAAGGAAATGTATCTCAGTTACTTGTGTGAGCTGCAGCTGACCGGTAAGGCCACCAAGAGCAGGACAAACACTTCCGAAGCCACAGGAGAATTTCCCCCAGAGAATTTGTTATACATAGCTGCAGGACACACAGGACCCAGTTTTACATGATGAATTTACGTGCTACCTCTTTTCTCTCTCTTTTTCTTTTTAATGGAAACCAACCAAACATATAAAACCTCACCAAGACACTGTGATTTATTAATCTATTTTGGTCTTTTTCACCTTATTCTGCTACTAACTCCATGTTACTATCTGATCAGTCTTAATGGATGATGCAGGTGTGATTGCACACCATTTTCCTCAACAAACAAGGAAAGTTTGTTAGGTTGTACCGGGTTTGGTGAGCAGCTGAGAGCCCCTATGCATAATTGGGTTGTGTAAGGATGGTCGGTGCAGCCTTGTGACTATAAGGGCAGGTGCCTTGGGGAAAGCAGGTGGGGTATACTAGAAATTGAAGCAGTCTGTCTTCATTGGCTGGCTCTTAATTTGAGTTAGGCAGGAAAATCATATGTATGTGAAAGAAAAGGCTGTTTGAGGGTTGGTTGATTATTTTTTTTTCCCCTCTCTTCCATCTTTCAGGAGCTATGGGGAATACAGTCAGCATCTCAGAGAGAACTGAAGAAGACAATACATGCACAGTAAAGAGCTATCAGGTAAACAAGAGCTTTCCACTCTGCATATACCTGGTTATTGCACATTGTAATTTTCAAATCCTATTATGTACCCAGTCCTAAGAACTGTGTTTTTTGCTATTTCAGGCTCTATCTGAATCTCCTGACAATATCAAGAATGGATCTGTTGCATTTGTTCAGGCTCATTGTCCTGCAATGAATGGTGAAGGTATGTACTTGGTGGATGTTTGTACGTATTTTGCCACAAGACAGGCAGAGAGAGGTTTATGCTGGAGCAGTAATAAATACTGATGCATGGTCTCAAATTAAGACAAGCCCATGTAACAGCTCTTCCTCATGGATCAGCATGTGTGGCTTTTCAGAAGCCTGAAAGCTTAAAGATAATGAATGGTGAAACAGGAAAACATTTCTCAAGTCCTCTGGTTAACTGTTGTGACTGAAGTGTATGTGCTGTTGGTCAGGCTGCTCTGCTTTGCCAAACCCTTCTCTGGTCACAGCGGCAGCAACTCTGGGGCTATACAGAGACCAGGCTGTTATTTGGAGAGCCACTGCAAATATTCTGTTTATAAAAGAAATCAGTAGTGTGCTCTGGACTTAAGGCTCTATCCCCAAATTGCCTATTAATGATGCCTAAAGACAGGTTTCTACAAAGATTTGCAGAAACTGAGTATTTTGGTATGGATAGAGAAGGTAAAACAGTAATGGGACAGGCAAATTACTATTGTCACATTGCTCTGCTAACACTGATCTGCTTACCAATGAACCTCACTTGGTTCAAATTTCATAAGGAGCTTGACAAAGGCACTTCAAGGGATGCCTGAGATTGGCACAGCAGCTCATTCTGCTGCTCTGCCATGATTCTGAGGGGTGACCCAGGCTGTTACAACATTGAGCGTAGCAAATGGTGATGAAATCATGCAAGCCCAAAACCAATGTGATAGTGTAAATTATTAAAATCCCAGAGTAACAGTGTATTGAGATGACAAAGGGAATAAGGGAGTAGGAAGCTGTTGGAGGGGGGAATGTGACTTCTTTTAGTGTCTGCAATAAAAGGCATCCTTCTGACATGTTCTGTGTGCACTCAGCCTTCTGGGGGTGGCTTGAGCAGTTTAATAAAAGGATGTTTTTCAAAATTCTTTGCCAGCTGGTTACAAAAACTGAAATAAAACTTAAAATCCAGATCCTCGCTACATGTTCTCATCCCCAAGTTTGCACAGTCTTAAAAGCCACCTCTACACTTCTGTTGTGACACCACAGTTCTGATCCTTTTGGTAGCAATTTCAACAGATGCTATGATAGAATGTGAGCACCTTTTTGTTCATCTAAACGTTTCCATCTTGTTCTGACTTCTTGTCCTGTGTTCCTGAGTCGGTGCATGGCTTTGATTTCAAAGATACCAAACAATTATTTGTTAAGAACTAAATACATATAGGGATGTGATTTTCTGTCCTGTTTGTCACTTAGAAAAAGTGCTTGGCTGGGGAAAGTACTGTAAGGAGGTAGGCATTATACCTGTAGGGATGCTGTTCTAGACCTCTAGAGTTTTGTCACTTCTGATCCTAAGCTGGTCCTTAATGGTACCTTTCATATATAGAAATCTACATTGCAGTCATTTTAGAAGTGATAGTCCTTCCTGAAGAGAGCAGAGCATGTCTAATCTGCAGGGAAATTTCATAAACAAAATATAACTGTGTGGACTGCCTGTGTTTGAGTTCTAGAGAATTTGGGGTACAGCACAGACATTTATAGAGGTGGGAATGCAAGCATGGCCTGACAGCATTATTACTAAAAGGTCAGTCCTATTTACCAGAATTTATTCAAACTGGGTCTCAAGACTAATGTTGTAACCCTGACCACCCCTTTCCTGATGCTGTTATAGGATGTGTTAGATATTACTGAACTACTGCCAGGACAGGAAGAGGTTTTCAGGGGAGTGATGACTTGTTTCTCTTTCTTTTTATACTAATGAAATAAAATTGATATGGTTCTGCTAAATATGAACTGTGGGTGTTACTGTAGAAGTTGAATAGTTGGTGGGGGCATGTGTAAATCATTACTCAGTAAGAGAATCCTGTTTCAGACCTAGCTGGGTGGTGTTCAGAGCAGGACAGCAAATGGGGTTTTGAGTGATCACACCCGGGGCAGGATGGACCCTGGGCTGCCCATGGAAAGGTGCCTGTGAGCAGCTGAGCCTCACTTCCAGTGCTGATGTCCTTAACATCTGGTGTGAACTACATGGCCTGAGCATTAAAAATTTGTCTCCAAGTAGTTTTGAGATGGTATCTCCACTTACTCACGGGCAATTGCTCCCATGTGTGTCTCTCCTCACCTTTCAGTGCCTCATTAATTTCACCTTGCATACCTTGTTGGCTTTGGAGCCTTTTTGAGCAGCATTCAGGCAGCATCCATTTGGAGCACTGAAGTGAAGTAAGGCACCTCTGCAGATTCAGCCACATTAATTTTGCCATTCTTTGCCTTGTGTTGGTTTTTTTTCTGTTTTCAGACTACAATAAAAACCAACAATTCCGTCCAATCTCTGTAAAGAAAAAAATCACTGTTTTATTTAAGAGAACCCTCTCAGCCTGTTACATCCATTTGAAAAATCTAAGCTTAGGTGCAAATAATCAAAGACTGGTATGGCAGTATGCAGATGGTACTGATTACAGTTCAGAATCTCTGTTCCATGGCTAATTTTCTAATGCCATCTCGCTATAATAAGTCAGTTTAAACAGTTGCCTACTAGAAAATAAAAGCTTGTAGCTGTATTTCTGCTAGTGTAAACCAGGAATGCTCTGGGAAGCAAATAAAAGCCACAGGATTTACATTGTCTGAAGACCTAGAAAATAAGTGCACATTTTACTCTTACTACATAAAATGAAGCATATGGCATTGTTTTACTTAAATGGATTACTAAATTAATGTAATTACTAAATCAGCTTAAGTAGCAAGTTGAAGAATTGGACTGTCCTGTGTTGATATTACTTCGATTTTAACTTTATTAATGTTTAAAAAGCAGTTAAAATCATTAACTGTTTAGATATCACTGCAGTCTCACTGGTTTCTGTAATGTAATCAAGGTCCTGGTCCAATAAAAGTGCAAGGGATGTTTGGAGGTGGAAGTTACTCCTATAGAGAATGTAGTTGATAGCCTTTATAAAATGAAATAGTGCAAGGACTAGTACTGTTATTATTTAATAGTCATGAAGTGAGCACTTCTGGAGAAGACAAAACGGCTGCAAAAAAGCAAGTGAAGCAAGAGGATTTTATTAATAATGTGATATGTTTGTGGTCTTTGTCTGGTTAGTTTGCATTTCTGTGATTGCCAGTGATCTGACCATGTGCTGTGCATTAAGTGGTATAGTTGATAAATGAGTCTACGAAATCTATATCTGTTAATATAATGAGAAAAGAATCCAGAGAGTTAACTTAATCTGACCAGAGGAAGTAATGTTATTTGGAAGAGCCCCATCACCATCTGCTTCACATCTGGGTGAGCAGATTGGTGACTGGTTCCCTGTGTTTGCTGCTTCTCCTCAAAAAGGCTGACAGATCTGTGGACTTGGGGATTCTTTCCATGACTTGCCTTTCCTGCTCCTATTGATTATCAGGGCTGCAGACATTGCACATCCACCTTCTTCTCCTGTAATGCCATTTAAAGAGTAGTGGTGCCCTTACTGCTACCTTGTGATGTGTTGTTTTGCAAGCAAATGGAGAGCAAACTTGATCCTGGCTTTTCTTAATGTTTTCTGTTTCCTTTGTTGAACTTTAATACAAGTATCTGTTGGACAGCAGGTAAAGGGAAGACCACCAGAACTAAAAGCCATGTACCTCTGAGATTTGCACTATGCAGAACAGAAATGTATCAGGAGGACAAAATGGGACAATTTTTGTTTGTTATTTAGGTGGTAATCACATGCAGATTAAAACAATGACCTGCTTATAAAAAGGAAAGATTACACAAGGAAGAAAAAGCTCAGTTTAAGATGCAGCTCCTTTGTTCTAGAGGATAAATCTGAGTAAGCAAATTCTGCTACTAGCCAGTATCTAGCAGATATCAGTGTATTGCAATAACTCTATGTGCCTGTAAGGTGTGAAACACAGTGCATTGTAGTCTGCTGGGTTTGTGGGGTTTCTATTTTAAAGGGTGATTACTATTCCTGCTATTTTTCTTCTCTGGTTTCCATTCATTTTGGTAAATGAGTTAGGTAAATAACGATGCTAGTTAACTTAGTGAAACACAATTCTTCTTAGAGCATAAATGTACAGTCAATTTTATTTGCTGGAAGTAGTCAAGCAAGACTGTGGAAGAATATTAGTATGTCTTTTCTTTTTTAAGAAAAGGGGGAAATGTCTTATTTTGAATTTTCTAATGCTTCTGAAAACTCGGTTATTCACTCTTGTCACAAGTATTTGGGGAGTCTCCCCAGCAAACATGAGGTATATTTAAAGATCTGAAAATTCTACAGCTATTAGAGCATTATGACACCAACTCAGTTCTAAATAATGGAAGGAAAAAATAACTTATGCTACACCTATAAAATTACCAGAAATTTAAAAACTCACTCTTTGTTGCTGTTTAGATTTTTAAGGCTAGTACTTGCTGCAGTAATTCATTCACGGCTATTGTAATTCATTGTGCTGGCTTACACTGATGGACTTCTTAGTGCCAACTGTTGCCTTGTAGGCCTTAATGGTTCCTTCATGGCCATTTATATCTATTGTCTCTATGATTATCTGAACTCTAGGGAACAAGCTAATGCTGTGGTACTATAATTACATTACTAAGCAAAATACCTTTTTCTAACTGGCTTGTATTCAAAATAGCCAAAGCTACTAAAACCATTTTGTAGCTGGTTATTTTTTTCTACTGACAAATGTAAAAACATTTTCTCCTGGCATTTCTTTTCTGTCATGTTCCCATACTGGTGGCCTACAGGAAGAGATGTCTGTGCTGAAGACCTTGCCAATTCAACTTGTCCCTCACTCAACAGCTAAAAATTACTTGCACTATGAAAGAGTCAGGATAAATGGCAGGAGGTGAAAAGCTGCCAGGATAAGGCATCACAGGACCTTATTTTACCTGTTTCCTATGTGTAAGTATTAGACATGGGGCTGAATATAACTGCTGAAACCAGACTAACAATCAAAGGCTAAGGAAAAGGAGCATGTTTTAAGAAAGCAAGGATTTAACTTGGGCAAATTGAGCGTCAAAAATAGACACTGAGTACGTGGCTTAGGCTGTTGCCAGGTGTACAAAGAGCAAACTAAGATTCAGAGAAAGCCAGGAGTGGGGAAGGCAGTCTGGAAGTGCTGGACAGAAATGATCTTGGTCCCACTTGAGGGAGTTTGGCTGCCATCTGTTCTGTGCACCAGACTGAAGTCTGGTTATATTCCCACTGATTAGCAAAAGCAAATCAGCTGAAAAAAGCTTGGTTAGCATTTTTATTTGTGTTGGACTGGTGGCTCTGAACTTCCTTTCATGTCAGTTGCATCCTCGGTATTCTATCCCCATCTGATGTTCCCTCTGGTTGAGTGCTGCGTCTTGATCCCAAACCCATGGGAAATAGGTGCTTCACTGCTAGCACTCTACACTGATGCTTTGAGCAATGCTGCCTGTCCATGGGGTCTGAGCACCCTGGGTCCCATAGCGAAAGAAATAGTTCCGCAGCTCACATGGTCATCTTGAAGCCTGTGCTCACCGTAAGGCTTTGTCTGTTATAATATTTTATCTGCTGGCTCTGTTTGTTAGAACCTAAGCACTTGCTTTTCAAAATGCAGTGCTAATTCTGCAGACTTGGTCACATTCTGTGTCAGCAAACTTAGTGCTGTTCTTCATCCACAGCCTATGGAAGTGCTTAAAATGCTGAAGTCTAGGATACAAAAGGAAGGGGGAGAAAGTCTGTCAGCAATTACTTCTGAGCAGGGAAATGGTATTGACATAATACTGCACTAACCATTACTCTTTTCTGTAGAGTTTTTATTAAAGAAAAAATTGGTCTAATCTAGCAAATTTCAGAATAAATAGTCTTATTTTGCATATGCTCTTACAGAAGAGAGGATATGTGAGCCATAGCATTGCCTTTCAACATGCTGATAAAGTGGAGCTAAAGGAAGGACAAATCTGCACTGTGACTCTTATTAAATACCTGAAAAGGAAATGCCTGTGTAGTAGTAGCATGAAATGCAATCTTGCAGCAGTGCTGTAAATTGTATATTGATTTTAGTTTCAGAGCAGTTATTAACCTCATTAAGTGAGCAGCTTTGATCTACTTGCAGAGCTGGCCTAGAATTTAGGATATTTTGTTTCTATCCTTAATTCTGCCCCTGGAATGTGGAATAACTTTGGGAAGAATGGCACATCTGTGTCTCTAAAAACAAAAAAATCATGCACTTTTCATCCAAGTACTGCCATTTCAAAGCCCTTCTCCTTCACAGCTTGCTGGGAATACAGCAATGAATATGAGTCAAGTTCTTGTGTTCATCCCACCACGGCAGCATCTCCTTTCTGGTGGTGGGATCTGCATTGCCTGGTGTCTGAGCAGAAACAGTTTGAACTGTTTTGACACAGGAGACATGCTGCAGAGCTCATGCTGGTGATATTTTCCAGGTCTTTCATTCCTTCCATGATAATTAGAGATAAAAAGAGCTTGATAGGTTCATGAGCTGCTTTTCGGTTGGTTGGTTTTCTTAATGATGAGTTTATATTCCTATTTTTATACTAAAGGCAGTTTTCCCGTGCATTTTTTTATCTGTTACATAAAGCAGAAGTTTAGCATCTATTACAATTATTTTCCAATTGATACTGTTTCTGCTTTCTTTAGCTGGGGAAGGGTTTGCTTTTTGCTTCCTTCCCAAGTTTCCAACTATAATTAGAACTTAGTGCTTTCATGTAGTACTACAGGAGACTTAGGAAACTATAACTGATACTTAGTGGCCTTGACTGAAGAGCTGAATAGGTTGTTGGGCAGCTACTTATTTGTACCTTTTCTTTGCATGTCAGTACACTGAAATGTACTCACGAAATATTGCAGAATATTGTTGTCAAAGGGTCTTGCCAGTGTGAGTTGTTTTCTCACATAAACAGCAACAGAGAGAATCCAGGGGAAGAAATTTTCTCTATTAGAGTGCACACAAAGGAATAAAAATCTATTTACCTGGATAGAACAGCTTGTACTGAGGCACTCTGGTTCCTTTGTGTGCTTGAATGTGACCAAAACATAATAAGAAAGCAAATGTCATGTTAAGGTTAGAAGTGAAGTTAGGAGCCAGCTCCCCAGCAGCTGGTAAAATGCAGGCTGCAATTGGGTGCTGCCACCACAGCCCTTGATTTGTCCCCTCTTTTGCTGCTGCCAGTGTTTCAGTCAAGTCACTTGAGGTTCATGCTGGCGCTTTTCACCTCTATGGTTTATGGAAGCTCCCACCTTTTGCTAGTCAGGACCAGCCCTGAGCTGTGAAGCAAGAGTCTAGCAGGGATGCTCAGTCACAGTTAAGGCTGTGAGGAAGAGGATGTCACAGCTGAATGCTGGATCTCTATTCTTCATTCCCCAGGGACATGACCAGGGACTCTGGGTGCTGCCGCAGGACAGTATCAAAGGGATGCAGGGATGTGTTATACAGCATCTGCTGATGTTTGTGTGGTGTTATGCAAAATCCTTCAGGGGGTGGAACACTGGGATAATTCAGCTGTGAAGAGCTGAGGGGTAGTATTGAAAGCTGTGATCTACAGATATTCTGCTTTCCTTACCTTAAAAAGGAAACTGAACATTGCAGGTCTGTGCTGTGAAAGGCAGGTGTTTGAATCAGGATGTGTTGGCATCTGGGGTTTTATTGCTGTTAAAGTAAAATGTGAAGGCATAATATTGACTAGACTATTGCAATTATCATTTGAAATAATTTCAATTTTCCACCAAACCTGTCAATTTTAAAATTGTAATTTAGCAAGTCAGTTTGAGACTGTCAGGTTTTCACTTATAATGAAGCTCATCTACATCCATCCTTGAAATCTGTGGTGCTGATTGACAGGGAAATCAGATCTATATTCTAGTCAAAGTAGGGAAGAGAAGCTCATCTGAGGAGAAGCTATAAGGCTTACTTCTTGACAAGCCTCCTCTTGTTTACTGGGGTTTCACACCACATCATCTGTGATTCAGTCTCCCAGCCACAAAGCATATACAATGCTGTATTTTCTTGTCTCTTGTTTCTTTTGTCTTCTGTGAAGCAGGAGCCTTCTCCTGTCTGCATACAGAGTGTTGGGGACTTTCACCTCAGTTCTGTTATCAAAGTGCCATTGCAATATAAAATCATAGCATATACTTTTAAGATGAAAGATTTTTTCACATCTGAAGTGTGATTGTCAAGGGAAAATTATCTGTGAGAATTGGGGGGGGGGGGGGGAACGTGATTAATAGCAGTTTGTGGGTAAGAAGAGTCGGAAACACAAGGATAAGAAGCCTGGCTCAGATGTGATTTATAAGTATTCAAATCAGGCTTAAGCTAACCTGCAGACAATAGGGGTGTGCAAGCAGAAACTGCACTATGGAGAGCAGGCAACGAGGCAGAGTACTGGAAAAATGAATGAAATAAGTTATGACTGCAAAGCCCTGTGAGGAGTTTGGCAAGCCAGGAAACAAGATCAATCCCTGCAGTTTTCACTCTTTTTTTCCCATTCAGCTTTGACAGAGGAAAGCGTAATATATTAATATATAACTTTGTCTCAAGGTTTACCCTCACCTCACTTCTTTAATCTTTATTGGAAGCAAAATATCCTCAGCATGTCCACTGGGCTTAGCAGTCAAACACCTGGGCTGTTACCTGACTTTGGCAGTTAAGAGGGGACTGAAGACCATTAAACTTGCACTGACTTCAATGAGGAGTGACAGGGAAGAAAATCAGACAGGCAGGTCTGATCAGTGAGCGGCAGCTTGTATTTAGCAGAGGAAGACAAAGGGGTCTGTCAACAAGATGCACTCTGTGTAGTCCTCCCAGAGGCTCCACATATCCATTAGTTTATTAAAGAGTGAGATCTCCATAATTAATTGTACAACTGATATAACTCCTTTGCTGTGCTGGATAACTACAGCTCTATGCTTCTGTTTGTAGTGGATGCAAAGGCGAGTGTTGCACAGGATAATGTGGCCGTTTCTTCCCCCAAGACAATGGAGCAGAGCCTCGGGAGCGCTGCCAGCAGAGCTCTGCCATCTGCTACACCCCGCTCTGTCTTTGCGTTTGCCTGGGCTGTACCAGGGCGTACCGAAGATCCAGCTACAGATTCATCAGTTGGAGCGGGGAAACTTGATGTCAGCTCAGAGGCGCCCGGAGTGAACAAAGCACCAAGTGACAGCACGGAGGTTCCCCCAGCAGCTGGGTGGGAGGAAGGAGCACATAAAAACCTGACCCAGGCCCCGGTGGCACCATCCCTTCATGACATCGGTCTTGTGGCATCGGTGACACCTGAAGGAGAGGGTGCAGCTGCCTCAAAGCCAAAACAAGTAACCTTCTTTGACAGGATCTTCAAGCTGGAGAAGGGAAAGGAAAGGAGTAAAGCACAAATTGATACCCAGGAGGAAAGGCAGACTTCAGACTTTCCTGACGGGCACATCACAGTGAAAGAGGCTGCTGGATTACAGAGCACATCAAACAGTGTCCCACAGGGGAAGGCAAGTGCTTGAGTAGGAATATCCATTTCACTCCTAATGAAACCTCTTAGAAATATTACTAGCATAGGACACCGTAATGCCATAATGCTGTGTGACTGGGTCGGTGTTGCGGGGTGGCTGAATAGAGGTACGGGAGAGGAACCTAAAGCGGAGTGGGAATAGCTCTGATGTCTGCCTCATGACTAAATGCTGGCATCTGACCTCGAGTTTAAATTCACTTGTAATTCTCTGAAAGGTCTAGGCAAGATAGCTGTGTTCATGCTCTTTGACAGGATGATGAACAGCAGTCAGCTATGAGTGAGAAGTACCTGAAAGTAAAATTGTTTCTTGTGGTTTAGAAGCTTGGAGCTTGACCCTGGATGGTTTTACAGTAGTTCTCTTGCATGTTTTGTGCCATTTTTAAAATAGTCACTCTTCAGCAATAGCTGCTTGTTGCATGCCCTACATAACAGGGTAAGGAATATTATGCAGCAGCAATTTTTGCATTCTTAGCTATTGTAATCTTATTCTTTTTATAGTCAAGGAAACCTGGTCCCTTAGAATTGATTTTATGGGATGAGAATGTGATATAAGTAATTAACTTGCCTGAAAGCATGTTACTCAAAGGAGCTGAAAACAGACCTGGGTTTAGATTTTGCACTTCCTGCAAAGTTTGATATCAGCAGATATACTCTAGGATTAATTTTCAAGTAATTAACTATTGAAAAAAGTCCATCCTGCAGACAGGAATAAGTGTCATAACTTGTATTAGCTCTGCTGGAGAGGTGCCAGCAGGCACTAATTGGTGATCTACCTCAAATACTGTCCAATGCCAGGAGCAGTAGGGAGAAACTAGCTGCATGGCTCCCTCATCACAATCTGTAAATGCCATTTTAATAGTAACTGTGTTTGTTGGCCTTGTTCAGGCTTAAAAATAAGACTGCTGTATGATTGGTAATGCTTTGAATAGTGTTGAATGTAGTTCACAAGATGCTCACTGTTTGCACTGATGACTTTACAAGGTGTGCCCAAAAGTCTCTTCAATTTCAGTTCTATCTTGTCTCCTATCTTATGCGTCCTCCCATTTGAAGATCATATTTCTTACATAAATTGTAATATTTTTCTGAAGTCATTTGTAAGACTGAACAGTTGCATTTTTTTCACTATTGCCCTCCAGAAGCGGCACCCATCACTGGTATTTCAGACAGCTATATATGAGCATTTAAAGAGTCTGTAGTCTCAACCTAGCCAGCATACCAAGTCATTCACTACATAAACAGAACAGGGTGCATAATTCAGAATAAATAATCTATTCAGTGCATATTGATACTTCTGGCTACAGATTATAAGACTGAAGATTTTCAACATTGTCGATTCCTGCAGATATTTTTGAGTAACACACACAAAGAATAGCTTCTCCTGTGACTCACAAGAATTGTTACTCTTACAATTAAATGCAGAATTCATTATTTTCTATTTTGCCATGACTGCAAACTACAAAGCGCAAAAGGTCACAGTTTGTGCTGTTAAAGTAATAGTGAGACTCTAGTGGAATAGCAGTCTGATGAAGCTTTAACCACAAGTCAAACATTTGCTGGTAGCAAATAGTTATGTTGGGAAAGCTCAGCTAAGAACGTGTTTGTGACAAGCAATAGGACAAGGTAACCTAAGCCTTTTTCTGCCATTTCAAACAGATATTGGAAGCATTCTCTCAGATAAAGTTTTTTTTCTATCAATAATGCCTCACTTTCTCATTAGTTCTGAATCTCTGCTCCAGTCCTCAGCTTACATCTATCACATCCTGAACCTCGCTAATGGAAATGATCTGGAAATCCTGGGCACTCATCAGCTGTAGGGTGTGTTTGTTATGAGTGTGTTTGCAGGATCCTAGCCCACACAACAGCTTTTGACATGCTTGAGGACAGGTCTCCCATGTAACAACATTGCCTGTGTTTATATGTGTTCTTAAAGCTGTACCACAAAAAAAAAATCTTTTGAGGACTCAAAATCAGGTTTGAGTTGCTCAGAGTAAGTGAATGGCAGAACTGTATCACAGGAGAGAGTGAAATTGTAACCTTATCCTTAATTTTCTGGAGTATTTCTGTCTTTGATTCTTCAAATATGAAATGGGATGTTCAGCACAGAAGTTAAGGACCTTTTCTGGGAAAAATAAGGTCCCTTCCAACCCAAACCATTCTGTGATTAAGCACTGCTGATATGTTGTCAAACTAACTTTATTTCTAAAACAAAGTCTGTGGTTCTGCCTTGCAGCACAGTTGCCTTCTGTTCCCACTAAAGTTGCTGGTTCTCCTGTAGGATGCGTGAATGACCAAGTCTAATTTAATTGCTGTTACTGTAGTAACTACAGACTGTTACCAAATAATCATACTAAAAATCCAGATATTGCTGCCAACAATTTCTCCCCCCTCTTTTTGTTTTTTTGGTGGATTATGACTTGTAGTATCTGTAAAAGCTAAAAGGAAAGCAAAGCTTCCCTGAATTGAGTGCCAGCACAAAACAAACAGCATTGCTGGTAAGTAAGAGAGAGGCTCCACAGTTGTAGCTTAAGAGCTGCACAAACATTCTGTGTTTGGTGAACCACTCTTTATTTTTTGTGGTCCACAAAACTACATTCAGAGCACAGCATAATTAAAACAAGGACAGAATTCATGAATTCATGAAGCATTTACTATGTAAGCCAAAGAAAAGATAAATTATATGCCTGAAATGTTTCACTGAGCCATGATTCATACAGACAAAAGTGCTGGCAAGGATACGTTCTTTGGTATGTTTTTCTAATGACTGAACTGAAACTGCAGTGTAAGTATTTAAGATGGTTATTACCCCCAAATTTGGCTCCTCAGAGGAATGAACTGAACATTTACATGGTATCTGTTAACTTCTAATGCTGACTTGTTATTTCTAGTTTTCTTTCGCTATTTGCCTCTGGGGCTTTGCACAGTGTATTGTGCAGTGAGCTGCTGCAGAGGGAGGGGTTTATGGTTATTTGACTATGACTCTGAAAATGTGACACTGTAGGACTCCACATTATCTCTGCCTGATTTATATGCTGATGGCCTGAGTCTCTGCTCCTTGCTACAGCAGTATTCCCACGAAAGGCCAAGATCATAGCATCTATCAAAGTCCAGGTTTGAGTTCTCAGTCACTAATGGCAGCCTTAGCTTGGGAATCCTGGAGTAGGGCTCCTCATGCAGTAGTAGGCCATTACAAGACCCATTTGTGTTCTGCAAGTCAGAGCTCAGGGATTTTTTGATGGTGGTGTTATTCCTGTGCTCTGCATAGGCTGCAATAGGTTTCACTTTTTCAGGGCAAAGTGTGTTCCAGGGAGATACACTTGAACAACTAGTGTTACCAGAGGTGGTACCTGTCACCACTGCGGTTGTCCCAGGTGGTACCTGCTGCTAACTGCTCTTTGCTGCAGTACTGAGCCAAAAGATTCTTTCCTCCCAAACACAGTGCAGCCCACTACCAGAGCCTGGGCTTGTGTGTGTGAAAAAGGATGTCTGATAGCACCCACTAGTTGAGTTATGAAGCTGGTTTTATTTTGAAACATCTTCTGCCTCCTGCTTCTTTGGTCTCTTGCCTCATGCTTTTGTTGCCCCTTTATATCTGAAACAGAGCCAGCATTCTTCATATGACCCAGGCTCTCTAGATGGCATCTCTAGAAGCAGGGCTGCCAAAGCTGGCCTGGCCACGCATGTTCTGCATGGGACATATTGTTCTTGGAGCTATTCTGGCCTGTAACTGGCTGCTGGGTAAAGCGGTGTGTTAGACCCTTGTAAGAAACTTCTAAATAGCCTGTTGAAGCACTCTCAGCTGCTGTGCTGCGTTTCTTCCTGGGTAAACTTGGAAAACAGTGGGTGGAGAATTAGACAGAAGTCCATTCTTGCAAGTAAAACCTTGTGCATTTTAACTTCTTAAATGCTGATGGAGACTGACCACTCAGGCTTATCTTTCCTGATGACAAATTAGCCCTCTGAAGTTTTAAAACGTTTCTCTTCAGTCTGCTCCTTCCTTTAGTGACCTATGGAAATGTATGACCTCTGCAAATCCTATACAAACATCATGGCCCAGTACAGGGAAACGTTCTCAAGAGTACAACTTCATTTTAACTTTTCCTAGTGGGAATTGCCCTGAACTATATTGAATTGGCAGGCTAGGAGAAAAACCTTGGTGTCATTTAGAGCTCCAGGTAGTCTGAGAGCGGTGATTTGAAGATGCTGTTTGCTGGAGACACATGGACAGGCTCATCAGTTTTCTTTTCTGTCCTGATTTTTCTTCTGGATTAATCTGGGCATTTTTGTATCCTAACAACTGCTTCTCAAGTCACTGTTTCTGAAGTGACCAGAGGTGTACTGCTGTCTAAAGAGCTGGCGATGGTAACTTCTGAAGAATTATGGCACTGCTATGATTGGTGTTCAATAAGGTCTCAAATCCCCAGCCAAAGTGGAGGCCATCGCTGTGCTGGGCACAAATTACTTTAATAATAGACAGGTCCAGCCTTGCTCTTACCCTGCGGACAGACAAAAGGAAGGAGGATTATTGGTAACAGACATTACTAGCCAGATGTAGTACGCTTGTATATTATGGGATATGATGACTTGCCTCATGCTGCTCTGTCCTGCACTTTTGTGATGGTTCTACCTGTGCAGGCTTCAGGTGAAAGTGGCCAGAATGGCAGACAAATTCAGTGTGAAAGGGGGCCAAGCTCTCCCAAACTGGTCCAAGAGAGTTTTTTGAGAATCAGACCCTTGTTTAACTGTCTAAAATTGTGTGACTTAATATTGCATACTGGTGAGTGCTTGAGCACTGGAAAACGTCAAAACATTTTTGGGCTGTGGGAACTGTAATTCCAGGAAGAGAGGAGGCAGCTCCATCTGACTCAGAAGAATTCCTTTGGGTTGTTGCTTTTTGTGTTTGATAAAAATTATTTCTGGAAATGCAGAATACAGAGTATCTGAAGCAATCTTTGTATGGTACAGTCAGACACTGAGCCATGAGAGGCCAAAATCTCTGCATTTGTTCTTGTTCACAAGTTCAGCCTTGAAAAGAGAAAAGTGGTGGTGTTTGGGATGTTGTGTGCAACTCTACTCGTGTTTGTTATACTTGGTAGCTGAGAACAATGTTCCTTCAACCAATGGGAAATGCTGAATATATGAGAAATGAGGGGGGGAAAGAGATGTATAAATGCTCAATTGTTCTGAATACGTAGGCTGGAGAAGTATGGTTGGAATTAGGGTTGTGACTCTCGGCAACATAATGCAAGTCACAAATGTTACTTTTGCATTCCACTGGAAATTAAGCAAGCTAGGACTCAGGGAATTCTGCCCCTTTTTTTAATAGGAGATAGATGCCTGCAACCAAAAAGACCTACAGCAGGACTCTGCAGGTGTCAACAGCCTCACTGCTGAGCAATCTCAAACAGCAGAGGGAAAACAAGAAAGCCCTCAAACAGCTGCTGCAGTAGATAACTCCATCATGAGTTTCCTTAAAACACTGGTAAGCTTTTGCCTTTCCTTTTCATCTCTAGGCTATGCTTTAAATTGCTTACAAAAACCCCATGTGGATGCGTTGAGCTAAACATATAGCATTCACTGTCCACGGGCACTGGGAAGTAATGAAGCCAGATACCTTAGAGACTGACTTAGATGATGTGTAGGTACAGTGCAGTTACGATCAAATTATGACCTAATCTGGAAACTTCCACTTCTGCATAGATACTCATTGACCTGGAGGTGTTCACCTGTCCTAAGGATTTTTCTGTCTTCTTTATTTTTCGATAGCTCTAAAAGTTCATTTTTATGGATTAATTGGATGTATAAGCTTGAATAACATTTCTTTGGTCCAGATATTTTCATTTTCACCATTAATTTGTCGGCAAACGTTTATATTACAAACTTCCCCATATGGGGGGAAAGCAGTGTTTGTGCTTATTTCACCTTTGTTAGAATAAAACTGCTAGTTTCAAACACCTGATCTTTCAGATCTTTCACAAGACTGATTTGGGTGTGACTGTTTATTTTTCTCAAATATATTTAAGGTCTCCCCAAGCAAAGCTGAAGCCAAAAGTGATTCTGAAGACAAGGTAGGCGCATTCCTCTTTCTGTTGCTGCTCACCAGATGTTTTTGATGCTATTTCCTCCTCACTGTGTTGGTTTTTAGCCCAGTTGATGTTATCACTTGAAGTAATTTTAAACATTTTCCTCCTGAATAAATTTGAAAGGAAGATGAGCATAGACAGTGTGATTCTTCACATCCTGCGTTACAACCAACATCTGAACTGTAGCATTTTCTGCAAGGTTGATGATGAGCTGGCAATGCTTTTTGATTGTTACTCTGACTTGTCCTTGATTTAAAACTAGAGGTCCCTGGAGTGAAATCCTCCCGAGTCCACAGAAAACTACTGCCCAGAACTTTTCCCTTTACACACAGAGATGCAGACCAGGGCTTTGAGTTTTAAGCAGGGTGAATTGAACACTCTGCTGTTCTAACAAATGCATTGGGCTGACTGCAAGTGTGTGATGTTCCTGCTGGGAACTGAAATCTATATTAGGTGGACAGGTACAGAACCAGTCTGAGGAATACTCCTCCATGCAATGGGCAGGTGTGGCATCTTGCCTCTCTCTTTACAAACCATTTGTTCTTGGATGCCACTGACAAGAAGAAATGTGCTTCTTATTGTCCATAAGCAGTGCTGGTCCTTTACATGTGAATTCAGAGAAACTTCATTATTATAGCTTTCATTTGGTATTAGAGATATTGAAAATACCAGATTGATCCAATGTATTTAACAATCTTGTAAAATAAAGCGGAAAAACTTAAACTGTAAAAAATAAGTTGAAAACAGTCATCTAAAAATGGAAAAATATAGGTGTTTAAAGCCTTCTCCTTTCCCCCTTTTTTCCTGTTGTGTTAGTGCCAAAACAGTAGCTTCAACAGAAGCAGAAGTGAGACAATTTGTATTAAGCTGTCTTCTATCTTCCACTGTTTCCATGGCTTACAGGCATATCACTGCATAACAGGGAACTTCCAGATTATATGTCCTTACACATTGTTATTGCTATAATAACTAAAGCTGTTATCATGATGCCTGTGATAAAGTTTAATTAACACATAAAATATAAAACCCTACAAAAGGAAATGGTCTTTCCATGCAACTATTAAGTAGCCAAAACCACTACAGGCATCAACATTTTTGTTTTCAATCTTATTTTTCACCTCTTGTCCCATTCATTTTTTTTATATATGGCCTGATACTAAAATTATGTCAGCTTTTCCAGGAAGTGTGGGGGATACACATCACTCTTCAGTTATAGCTCAATGGCTCTGGAAATCATTAACCAGGGCTAAGGTCTTCAAAGATATCCAGAAAAGGTGGTTATCAAATTGCATGGTTTCAGTGAGACTTGTAGTACTTTCAGTAACTCCTGAAGCATCGAGTCCTGTTTGCATACCTGACTTTATCGAGCACACCCATGTGTTTCTATAACTGGTGCCTGTTAGTGCGGGTGTAATGTGATTTGGAAACAAATAGGCTGTTTGGGTTTGGTTTTCTCACACCTGTAAGGATAAACAAATCCAGGGGACCAGAAAGATATGCAAACTTTATAGACAGGTTAAATGAGAGTTCTTTTCTGTAGAACTCCTTTATCTTCACTATCTTCTTGATACAAAGAATGACATTTTCACTATGTTAAAGAGCAAATATGTTTAAAAGGTTAATTTATCAACCACCATACAGAAAAGTTGCAGATTTTCCAGCCACTATATATAATGAAATAATTGTAATTTTCCCCCTGAGAAATAACTTCTATCTTAATAGTAGAGATACGCTCCCAAGTGAGGCTTTCACCTTCACATAGTCTGAGCCTCTCTGGGTGTTTTCATGTGGTTAGGCTTGCACAGGGACTGTCTTTGAGTCCTTTCATGCTTTCATTTTGGCTGGTCCTGCACCTCTTTTGCAGGGAAAAGCTGGCATTTATCCCACAGGGACTGATATTTTCCCAGTGTGTCTCAGCAGGGTTCTCCCATGTGAAGAGGGCAGACAAGCTTCCTTATAAATCCTTATAATCTTTCTTGCAAAGTACGGCAACATGCTCCTTCCTGCTGAAACGCAGAGGTCTTGTGGCATCAGCAAAGCTGAGCTTGGTGGGTTTTGTAGCAACATGCTGTCATCAGTGATGCCTCTGGCTTTAATCAGCTGGTTAAAGGCATGCATGCTTTCAGCAGCCTGAGCACTCCCTCAGCGACTGTCATTTCTTCTGTAAACAGCGGAGTTTACGTAAGTTGAGTCATCCTTTCTTGGATGAATTGATCCTTAGCAAGTGTATACTAATGAACATGATATTTGGATTAGATCTGTCCCAGATCCTTCTGTTGCAAATCCTGACTTGTTCTCACTTCACTGTACCTTTGGGAATACTGAGAATGGTACAGAGCACCACAGGGAAAAATGGCTGATTTTGATGTCACTGGCCACAGCCTCTTCATGGTATGAAGCACTTTGTAGGGAGCTTATAATTGCATTGAATGAAACCATCTAGAGACCAAGATCTCAGCTTCACATGCTCATGTGTGTTACATTCTGTACGCTGGACCTTCTACCCTATTAGTTGCAGTCAACCACAGTGCTTGGTACTTCACGTGGTAAATGCTGTAGGCTGATTGTTTCTTTGGAGTTTGGCTCTCCTTGTACTTAGCAATTCCTGGAAATTTTTGTCAACAAAGCTTAAAGCTTTTTATTGGTTGGAAGCTGCATTGTACAAATGCAAAATAGAATGAGACTTGCAAAGGGACAAGGTAATTACCTGGAGGGTGGGCACTCTTTTTCCATAGAGACATCTATCAGCACTCCTTTATTTTATAGCCCTTTCTAGTGGAATTTTCACTGGGCTGCCTAGTTTTTTAGAGATCCAGTCTCTAGTATCAGTGGGTGATGACTCCCAGAACAAGTGCCTCCTGCAGCTATTTTAACTGGAATGAAAAGAAAGCAGCACTCATTCAGCACTCTAGTATCAATTACTATTTTTTTGGATACTTCCATTTCTAACTAATTTTATGAACATTAGAGCAAACTTGAAATATACAGATAGCACATATAATGAATATTCACACTTCCCTTTTCCTAAATAATGCACTATGAAAAACAGTTAAAGGTTCCTATAATACTGCACTAAAAAGAATGAAGGTACTTTCAAAGACTTATATAGCTGCCTATTTTAAAATTATAAATTACAAACTCAGTCTCAGTCCTTGTGGAATTCGGGTCTTAATGAATATTTTAAGGAGCAAATTGTGATTTAATGCTCAGGCAGCTGTATTGTTGTACCATTTATATTTATTTCACTACTTGCATGAAAAAGTCTAAGGAGAACTGAGTGATCACGTCATTTGTTGTCCAGAGCTAAAAGCAAATGTCTGGGTTTAATACTGCATGTGAGTGTTTGAATGTCTTCCATGAACCAAATGAGAACTTTGCACTGAGTACTCAACTTCAAATGCTGTTGTACAAAAGGGATCAAAAGCGGAAAAAGGCCATGGTGGGCAACCTGCTCTGAAGACAGCACCTGAATCCCACACTAAAGGAGCCAAGAAAAAGAAGGCAGAGAGTCCCAAGCTAGGACACACTACATTTAGTAAACTCTTCAGGCATAAGGTCTGTATGAAACTCTAGCAAGAACAGAACCCTGAGCAGTAACAGATGGCTCCCGTTGCAAAGTGGAGTTATTTAATTGGGAACTGAAATCAGCATCTGGCCAGCTGTGCAGTGCTCTGAGAACTATTGGCATGAGCATTTCTGTGCCATGCATTATGAAAGCAATCTGCGTGTGCAGCATTTCTCTTTATACCATCTGTGAATTCAGGATTCTGAAACGATTCCTCTAACCTTCCCCAATTCCTGCTTCCCAGTTACACTTGCTAATGCTAACTAAGCTTCCTTGGCCACTGAAAATAAAAGGTACTGACAAACAATGAATTCTATAGATATGAACAGTGCTTGCAATTGTAGGACAAGTTTAATAGATCAGTCCAATCACAATCAAGGCTTTATGGTCCACACTGCCTGGTGATTGAGTGAACTGGGGCATCTGATATGGTGCAGCGAAGATTGGAACATGGAATTTCCTTCAGAAACAGTTACTTTTGCTGAAAACAAGTAATTGATTGAATTCTAAGTTTAGTTTGGAGGGGAAAAGTGGTTTTTGAGGATGCTCTAAAGCTGTTCAAAATGCTTTTTGTCCAAGTGATTGTTTCAGAGGACACTAGCTTTTATCTTTAAAAAGAAATCACTGAAATTTTTTTGTTTGAAAGTCCGTATTTGGGCATTTCTGCATTCTCTGACGATAATCTGCCATGCTGTTCTATGGCAGGGAAGCAGAGAAACGGTAGCTTTCTAGCCCAAAGAATGCAGAAGCAGAGACCCTTCCACTGGGGGAGGAAAGTAATTAATATTTAATGCTCACTCAGCACACCCACATGGAATTTCTGGTGAGTAGGGGGCTTTATAATGAAGAGCACAAGTCAAAGGGAGCTCTTTTAGTTACTTTCAAAACAGAAATGTTCTTGACTCTGTTTCATTTTTGAGATGTCATCCACATGTTACTGAAGGAATAATGATCCTGCCAATGGCTTCAAATCTACAGTTCTAGCCAACAGCTTAAAGTTAAGATCTCATCTTGCACGTACTACATTAATAGTTTTGATATTTAATACAATTAAAACAGGAATGATTTGTTCATGATGAGCTGGGGCTTCCTGGTAAAAACCACACCTGGCTAGAATTTGTCAAGGTGCTAAGCCTCTTTTGCAACAGTTAAAAAACTTGCAGTGAGTTGCTGGGAGATACAATTGGTTTTCATTAGGCTTTTAGATAGAATTTTAAAGACTTCTGGTCTGGAGTGAAGGCCATTATCTTGAAGGAATGTGGCGGCACTAAATTTTTACACCAATAAAATCTGTCTCGTAAAATGTCATTACTTCCAAAATAGTTTTCTTGTTTCAAAATGTATTTTCACAGCTTTCCTTCCACATACAAAATACAGAAGCAATAACTGAAGTATCATTTCTGACATATTAAGAACAAAGGAGATGGATTAGAATGGTGCCAACAGTTGGCTTGTAAGGTTGATTGAAAGTGGAAATTCAAACTGGAGCACTGATGTAACAGGCAAGCCCTGAAGTTATCACAGCTAGTAAAAATTAAAGAAAAAGTAGTTTATGCCTTTTCTTTTGAAATGCCTCAGCATGATGTGCCAACTGGATGAATAGGCAATGAAGTTCTTTATTTGAAATTATCACTTTAATATATGTATTTGTATTTAATATTAAGCACTTCACTGTCTCCTGTGAAAGTTCTTTCTCTGCAAGTCTTCCAAAACGCAATTCTCTGTACCTTAGTTAAGAACAGATTGACTATTAGGTTAACAAAATTATTGTTTTTCAGTGTCTTGTTGTTTACATGAGTATTAACTTTAAAGCAAGTTGTGAATGTTGTTTTCAAACAGCAATGTGCATCCTAATATAAACCATAACATAAGCTGCTGGAATGTGATTTGGCCATTTGACTTCAAAGACTGAGTTTGGATGGCATTTGACAGTTGGCTCTCCGTCTGGTTTTATTCCCATCCATGTATATTTCCCTTGCACTGCATGCCAGTTTTGCAGTAGAACTGTACCAAATTATGGAATTTTTACTTGGAAAAGAAGGGTTAACTACTTCAGCATTACTACTGAAGGCTTGTGGCATTACTATCTCACTACTACTTACCACTTGCTTTGTACCTTGTTTAATAAAGTTAACCACAAAAAGAAGCTCTTGGCTCCTGCAAAATAACTCACCTATTCTTTCAAGAGATCCACAAAGCATGTGGCAGGCTGCCTAAACCCAGAGGTGCTACATTCCCGTTTACTTGAGGTGGTGGCTTGCTGCTCTTCTTTGTAAGGCTTAGATACTAGTCTTGAGTGTAAACTATGCTGGATGCTAGGGTAATAGAAACTGATGTGAATCACTGGCCAAGAAGAAGTTTAAACGAACTGGATTTTTCCTGGCTTTGTGCATTCTGATGAAACCAGGAGACTCATCACTGTGAATGATTTCTTTTCACAAAAGAGTAAATCCCACCTCCCACACAAAAATGTGAGTGGCTGGACTAAACCAACCTCCAGCACCTGCAGAGCTGCTCTTTGTAGAGCTGCAACTCTTAAGTTATAAAGCCACTGCTGTTCTATGCCATTCGTTTCCAGCCAGCCATCTGCCTATGTTTTGTGTCCCAGAAAGCAAAGCTTCCCGTGTTAGAGGTGATGTTAGCACATCCCTGACTGGTATGCGATTCCCAAGTGGAAAAGGCCCAGCTCTGGCTTGTATGTGTGCACTGGAAGTTGCAGATGCAGACACAGCTCAGAAATCTCTCTTAAAACCCTGCACAGTGTCTCATGTGAAGAAGCTGGGAATGCATATGTAAACATACACACTTGTAAAGAACAAATTGAGGGCTGCAAGCACGGCAGTGTGAGCACAGAGCAATTTGACACATGGCTGCAACACTGCTGCAGGTAGAAGGATGCAAGCTGGCAGTCTCTTCAGGCAGCCTCGCCTGTGCTAGAGATCAGTTTCCATGGTTGCAGGAGCCAGGACTTTCACAAACATTCACTAAAAATAAAATAATCTATGACACAGACAATTCCTGAACTGTGTAACTGTGAGCACTGACACTGCCGGAGACAGACTTGTCTTTGTGTTTTGTTTCCCTTCAGGCTGCAAAAGAGACCCAACAGACAACTAATACCAAAGTGAGTAGGATGATTCAAGTTATGTGTATGAGTAATGCAGTTAAAGAGGAATTATTCTCACTGTCATTTTTAATCTAAAAGACAGTGTTTTAATTTCTTTAGCAATTAACCATTTCAGTTACAAAGGGTGGGTTGCTGTGTAATCTGCTTCATCTGTTCAAGACACTCATTTGCAAAGGAACAGGGACACAGCTCAGGAGCTGCACCTTGTTGCCTTGTGTGTCCCGTGCAATGGTGGTCTGCTGCATGCCTGTCTCTTGTACCAGATGATGCCTGAATTTGCTGCAGTATCTTGTTCTTTGCATATTTCCAATAGCCTGTGTGTTCATGATTCTTTCTAGAGCATTGAACAGCAGCCTGTTACCTCTGTAAAATCAGACAAAAATGTCCCTTCCTCTCAAGAGGCACAGACAACTAAGCAGAGTACAAAAGCTCCTGAGGCTGCAGCCCAACAGCAGGCAGTGCCCAGCGATGCCCCCAAAGAGGTGACAAAGGAGAGATCATCATCTGCTCCCATGCCGCTGAGCAAGCTCTTTTGGAAAAAGGTATGTCTGGATTTCAGAGCTGGTCCTTCACACAGCATCTAGTGTTAAGATTAAGTCAATATAGTAAAGCTGTCAAATCTGCAAAGTTGAGCATATCCCATATGCTAAATGCAAGAGGGGTATAAACAATACATGCATGTACAAACACGTGAGTTTTGGGCAGTCACTTAGGCACATGGCTAGTAATACAGTTAGACTGCTGCAGAAAAATCATGTAAACAAGCCTTTTAAACCTGTCAGTGGCACTTTTTTTTAATGATACTATGGAAGCAGGAATGTTGTTCTCTGTCAATTCAACTTATCTGTTAAAAAAACCCACAGAAATTATAGCATTCTTTACCAGATTATATCATTAATATAGATGCAGCTATAAAAACCCATTTCATTTTCATGAGAACTGTTTGCTTTAGGTTTTATCAAGGTCTGAAAACCTGGAATCTGAAAATCTGGTAGCTCTATTCTTTCCCAATAGAAATAGTTCCATACCAGAGTGGATCAGTCCTTGGGCTTGGGAACAGAGGTTGATTGCTTGGGAAGACACGTTTTTCTTCAAGTTGAATAATGGTTTTAACTAAAATTAGGACTAACTTTGAAAACATGGTTCCTGTTTCCATGATCCTTATGGTTTATAAGCTGAAGGATTACACTTTTCTTGTTTCACTTAAGAGAAGAGCTGTATTAAACTTTACTGAATCACTGCATGTTGAATAACTGCTTTCCTGGGCTTCTGTTCAAGTTCAAATCCCAGAAATGAACTGTTTCCAAATACACAGATGCTGACTGAGCAACTAGCCCTGCAGCTTCTTTAGCTGTATTTTCCCCACTCAACAGTGTTAGTGGAGATATGGTTTGAGTATGTTACTTAGATTTTAAGAAAGGAAGGTATTTAGCTATTTAGAGTAAACATGTTTGAAAACAGTCTAAACTTGAGACATTTGTTACTTGGGATTTAATTTCCTGTGGAACTGGGCAAATCAGGTGTGTAAAATGAGAGGAAAGTTGTGAAGAAGAGGGAGAGGGAAGGGCTTTATATAGTTATTATTGCTCCAGAAACCTCCTCCTCTAAGTAGTCTGGCTTATTTGAAAATAGAGATGGGAAGTAGGATGTATACTGGACATCAGGATGAAGTAAGAAAGAAGAGGCCTTCTGGCAGGCAGTTGTATACAATTTCAGTGTAAAGTTGAGAGCAATAGATCTGGTCTGAAGTTCAGTAATTTCATAATAAAGTAACAAGGCCTTTTAAAATAGAAAAAGCATGTGAGAAAGGCACATATTCCTGTGGAAAAAATAGTGAAAATAATTCCTGTGAAGGAGAAATTGGTGGTGATAGTTGATTTTAAAAAACTGGATCTGGTAAGGCTTTGGTAAGATTTTAGAACATTATTTTGAAAGACGGATACAAACTAACCCAGTTATAGATATTTTACTGTTCCTCATAATGCAGGTTCTGCCCACAGTGAATATCAGCTGCTTCTGTCAGTGGAAAGTGTTATAAAGAACTCTCTATAACTCTGTAGGTTTTGGTTACTACCAAAACTATTAAGGACTAGTTAAACCATTTACACAAATGCACTGAATCACAATAGTATGTGAAATCTGAAATGGGTAAAATGACCCCACTTCTGTGTCATTAGAATTTCTTGGGTCTGGATTTGTGCTAAAAATCAAATATTTTTGCAAGTTTTCTGGATTAACTGAATTTGGTCCCTGCAATGTGTGCTTGCAGCCCAGAACCAAGTGTATGCTGAGATGCATCCCCAGAGCATGAGCAGCAGGTTATGGAGGGGAGTCTTCCCCTCTACAGTGTGTGCTCTGGAGGGACACCCCGCCCCCCCCCCGCAGTCCTGATCCAGCTCTGGGGCAACAGCACAAGAGGGACGTGGAGCTGTTGGAGAGAGTCCAGAGAAGGCCATAGAGATGCTGAGAGGGCTGGAGCAGCTCTGCTCTGGAGCCAGCCTGAGCCAGCTGGGCTGGTTCATCCTGGAGAAGAGAAGGCTCCTTAAGGGAAGACCTTCGAGCAGCTCCAGTGCCTAAAGGGGCTACAGGAAAACTGGAGAGGGGCTTTGGACACAGGATTTAAAGGACAGGACAAGGGGAATGGCTTTAATGTGCCGGAGGGGAGATTGAGATGAGCTCTTAGGCAGAAGCTCTTCCCTGTGAGGGTGCTGAGGCGTTGGCACAGGGTGCCCAGAGAAGCTGTGGCTGCCCCATCCCTGGCAGTGTTCAAGGCCAGATTGGATGGGGCTTGGAGCAATCTGCTATAGTAGAAGGTGTCCCTGCCCCTGGCAGGGGGCTGGAACTGGATGAGCTTTAAGGTCCCTTCCAACCCAAACAATTCTGTGAACTTAAAACCCCCAAAAAATTCTTACCTGCTTGAGCATTGAATCTTTACCTATAAAAAGCTGATGCTGCTTTACTGGATTTTCTTGACAGAGAATAATATTTTATTTCCTTTGATGAAAGACCTTGGTGACCCAGTCAGCTTGGAGCAAAAAAAAAAACCCAAGGATAAATGTGGAGGAAAAAAAAGGTCCTTAGACTACAGGTCAGCCTCAAACCCAGCTTGGTTTGAAGATCTGTCTTCTTTTTCTGCAGTGATCTTTCTTTCTGGCACACTTAATGTACTGCCCTTTTGCTAAGATAGAGAATCGAAGCTAGTGACTGTTTCAAATGGGTGTACAATTCAGTCATGTGTAGCTTTTCTTTTGAAATAACAAATAGCAACCAAAACATTCAATAGATCTGGGATTTAGATCCAGCATCTCTCTTTCCAGGCAGTCTCTTAAACGTCTACCTTCTGATGAACTTCCACTTCAAAGTAAAGCTAACAAAGTGCCTGTCAACACACTGCAGTTAACACTGTTGCTCTGACTACAGATGAATAAATATGTAAAAGGAGGAAGAAAAAAATCCTTATTCAGCTCCTTAGATGGAAACCACTTTGTGCTTGCCCCATTTCCTGAATTTCAAGAATTTTTATAACTGTTACCCAAATGTTTGTTATGCTAACATTTGTTTGTTTGTTTTTGCAAATACTAAGCAATACTAATAGAAAATTAGAGTTAGTAATTTCCAATATTTGTGTTGGAAACCTGGTTCCAAGACCTTGTAGATATTTGATCTGGGCAGAAAAATGTGATGCTTCATTTATATCTGATCCAAGCATGCCAGTAAATGGAGGAAGGTGACTGAAGGAGTATTATTTAGATTGCTCTGGCAATTATCTTTTAAAAATAGGTATTTTTTTCAAGAACTAGAATTTTAACCTGTTGCAATTTTGTTGCCATACAAACCCAGAAAAATCACTGCCTTTTTACTGAGGGGTATTTATGTAATGATCATACAAACAGCAAACTGGTTAGCTATTAAGTGAAGCATAATAACACATTTTTTTGCTGAGTCTGCAACCATACTTTGCCATAGGAAGGCAAAGATAAATATCTGGGTGGAATGTATAGGATAAACGTTAAAATTACCCATGAGTTACTAAGTTTCTACTCTTATCCTGGAATATACCACCTGCCAGGCAGGAGAAAAGGGAATTCTGGCTGGTTTTTGCTGGGTGAAGGAACTTGAAAGAGAATTCCCCCTGGCTGTGGGAGTGCAGAGGACAATAAGCAATGGGCTTCTGGGGACCATTTCACAACCTGATTACTGATATAGCTGCCTTCCTGGCATCAGGGAGGGCCCTTAACCAAACCACCTCAACCCAGCGAATAAAACCAGTAGGATTTGTGAGTTAGCTCCTGGGCTGTTTACAGACCAGTGTGGTTTAACTGTGGTTAACACTAATTGGTTAATAGTCTGAGCTGTTATAGCTCAAGATCTGGTGAGTGATCTTCAAGCAGCAGCCGCAGGTCACAGGGGGCTTTAGGGTAGAAGACTGAAAGCATGTTCACGGCTAAAGCAGAGCTACCTTAACTGCAGCAACCTCTTTGCTTTGGCAAAGGAGGGCAGGAAGGCGGGTTAAAGCCTTTCTAACCCTCCCTGCTTCCTGCCTGTGAGTCTGTAAGCGGCAGGAACAGATCTCAAGCATGACTGCCCTTTTAAGTGGAAATTTCTTGCGCAAAAGGTCATCTCTCCTATATATTTTTAAGATAAAAGTAAAGCTGCTTCATAAAGAAGGCATGACCCAGGAAAACATGAACTGTTCCTTGTGTCTAATGAAATGTAGTGGAGAGTGCCAGTTCAGACTCCAGCACAAGATCAAAGTAAGGTAGTGTTTACATGAATTTTGAGGAGAGATACAGCAAGCAAAAGGAAAACTCCTATCAAAGTTATCTGGGTTACAAAATAAGTTACACTCTCACGAGGCAACTATTTATAGGGTCAAGAACCTAGATGAGAAAATGCTATAGTAACAATTCTACAAAACTATAAGAGGGTTTTTAAGAACCAGAAGATGACTTAAAGAGTAGACACAATTTTTCACCACAACTGTTTTAAGTAAGCTTATTACTGAGATTAAATTAAGACCACTGTCATTTAAGAGATGGAAGAATGTTTTGCAAATATAGTGAAATAAAGAGCTCAGTAAAACTCTTCTAGAACACCACTAGTACAGATAAATTAAAATACTACTTTGGAAAAGAAAACAAAGCTAGCTCTGTAATAGGGAGAACAAAGGATGGCGCTCATCTTCCTTCAAACAAATGTATCTTGAAATGTTTTCTAAGCTTGGCAGAGTGCCTTTAAAAGAAGAAAAATAAAATAACCCAACAGCACTTCTGTCTCTGTGGTGCATAACAGCAACAGCTGCTGACTTAAGTCGAGTTTCTTACAATCCACGTCTAAGGAAACTGGAGGCGGAATTTGGGCCCACGAATGCAGCAACCTCAGCTGATGTAGTTTATAGTTATAAGGAGATAACTTGCTTTAGTGAGAACATTTATGTATCAAAGACTCATGAAGCTGTTTATAAATTATTATTATAAACAAGTTGCATTTTCTTCCCCAAAATAGTCACAAAAGTTGATAAAACCGTTTGGTTTTCTCCCATGTGAATTGAGGAAACTGAGCCCACTGCTCTACAGAACAGTTTAGGCTAATGTAACATCATTTGAAGTTTACTTCTTTGTCAGGCTCTTCCTATTAGACTTTCAATTCCTGCCAGAAACACCTTGGTGGTTTTCTTGAACGCACAAATGGAAATATTTCTTCTAGTTTCTCAGGGGAAACAGGAACGAAGATTAAAAACTCTGTTCTTCAAAGTATGTCAGAAAATCTTCTATACTGGGAGGGGTTTTCCCAACTACTGAGATACTATACCTTCTCTGCCTCTTAAAAGTATACGACATACCACATTATGTATCATCAGTCTCCAAGAGCCTGCCACCTTGGTCAGTCTTATTTGAGAGGATTTTGTTATGTCTCTATAGTTTCTGTTTGGCCCAGTATGTCTGAATACCGTCATGTGATTGCACGCAAGCTGCGGAACCTCCAGTGCTGCAGATACCAAAAGCTCAACTTGACAAGTTTCTCAGCAGCTTTGAGCAGAAGGTTAAACTACATTTCAGAGGTATCTTTGAGATCACAAAACCATAAAATAAAATCTTCAGCATCAATTAATCCAGTCTTACAGACGGAGATGGGCATACAAGAATGATTCCTGCAGATAATGATAAGAAATTTATCATAACTTTTTTAATAGCAAGGCTAAGATCTCAAACAAGATAACCTGTAACTTCAGCGACAATCTGGATATGCTTAATACTATCAAGTTAAAGTAACTGCAAAAATACACTGGATATCTAAGCTCAAAAAAAAGAAGGGGGGGGGGGGCAAAAATAAGGTATTCTAAAACAAGATTTCAACTTTCCTGAAGCTTCCTATGGAAAAAAAGTATAAAAAAGACACTGATTACTTTAATCAATCTCCCTGAATAGTTCACTATCGCTTTGCTCTTTATTTCAATAGACAGTGCTTTTCAGAGTTTGGCATTTTGCCCCAAGATGCATTTGTTATCAGCAGTGTCACTAACATTGCATACACATAGCTTGAGAGACAAAACTCATTTGGGTTGCAGCTGTAACAGTGCAGCAGTAATATGATCCCAAACTGTGATCTTTGAATGATGAGCTCCTAGAAGCAAGGTTGCTGCTTTATTGAGCCACTGTTTCAACTCATGCAATGAATCATTTCCTTCAAGCAAATAGATGGTGAATTGATTATATGTATGTGTGAATAGGCAGAAATATAGATTAAAATTATTATAGATTATCTCAAAAGTGTTCATAAATATAAATTAAATCTGCAATTCTGGGGGGGGAAGCAGGCTGGGCCGCAGTCATTTCAGGCAGCTGGAGACAAGGAATATTTATACCCTCATAATTTTCTCCCCCCTACCTTACCCCCAAAATGTTCATTTCTTCCACAAAAGAGGAGTAAAGAACAAAACAAAACCTTTCATGCTGCTGCAGAAGTTCATGGGGAGTTCCCATGTTGCATGTGGGGTGCCCTTCAACTCAATTATAATAGAACTAAAAGGTATGCTACTGAGACAAAAATGCATAAATGTATTGAATGGTTTCTCTATAAAGAACTTACATAAATTAGTTCAAAGGAAGATGACAAGAGCATACAGAATGACTACTGTAACATAAAAGGTGAATAGGAAAGATCAGTCGTTGCTCAAAATAAAAGCAGACTATCAAATAAAATTATTTGGTGACAGAAATAAACTACTTTTCAAAACAAACAAACAAAATAAAAAGCATATTTTAGCTGTTGAATCTTCTGCCACAGGATGCTGCTGAATACCGGGAATTTCATCAACTCAGAAACTGTTTAGCTAAATTTCTGTAGGAAAAAAATCCCTCAAGGGCTATTAAACCAAAGATACTATATGGGAATTACCAAGTGGAAGACAACTGGAAAAGTACATGAGGGCAGTAGTACTGTATGGATGCTGGAGGAGGCATCCCTTTTTCATCACTCTCTGAGGCTGGGGTGAATCTTTGGTATTACCTTTTAAATTATTCTCATGTTCATGTGGCTAAAATTAATCCGATCTAAAGAACTACAAGTATGAATTTACACATGAGTTCCTGTAAGTGCATGTAAAAATTGTGAGCTATCATTCTGATATTTATTTACAGCAGTTCTTTCCTATAGTAACCATAATATATGCTTCAGGTGTAACTGTGTTGATTTCTAAGCAGAAGTATGTGTTGAAATGCCAATACCTAGGGTAACTGCTTCTGTTTGACTCAGTATTGGAGGCATAGGTTGCAACATATTCTGCTTTTATAATGTTCTGCACCTTTCTGTAATAGGCTGCCAAATGACCAAGGGCTTGCTCCAGGTCAAATTACCTTGTTATTAGCATAATAGCTTCTGTTTATGGCAGAAGCGAAGATACGTCTTTACACAGTTACACTGGCATGGGAATTAATTAGTGGTTCTTGAGGGCACAGAAGAATGTTATTTACCAGGGCAGTGTAGTCAGCTAAGGAAGTGCCTGTGCAGCCTCCTGCCCAGTCGTGCCTCCACCTCCTGCGGCACCAGTGTGCCTCCTGCTCACGTATTCTGCTCTGCACAGGTCTTGTCCAGTTAAACACGTTCAGCGTTCCCAGGATAGCCTTGAGAGGGCTGTGGAATGAAACATGCAGGAGATTAATCAATAAATCTTATGGGGATCCATATTTCAGAGCAATGTACACACTGCATGCCTCTGGTTGAAGTGCTGTTTTAATAGAAGGAACTTTCCAGTACTTCACAAAGGCTCAGTGGGACCCAAAATCCTTCTATAGAGGCAACGTTGCTGAGTACCCACCAGCTTTTCTTGAACTCAGATGAAGGTCAGCACTATCAAAGAGGGTGACTGTGACCCATGGGATTAGGTGAAGTAATAGATGAGCTACTTAACTACCTTGTACCTCAAGAAGTCATTTATATCTTTACAACTGGGAATAGGCACTAACGCGAATACAGCCAGCCTGGGAACGCTGTGGCTGGTATGTTCTGTACATCACCAAGAAGGGTGCTAAACAGTTTTAACGGTGTCCATGGTGTGTTTTAATTAATCCCATTTGTGTTCTTGTGTGCAAGCTCCTGGGTGTGATCCTTCTCATATTTATCAGTTTTGCATGAGTGGCATCTACTCAGGGAACGTATTACTGTATGTGATTTCATTTATATTTTCAGCTGTAATCAAAGATTAATGACTGTGTTTGGGATCTGGCACTGCAACTCAGGAAAGCCTATTTCTTCAGTATAAACAAGAGCTTAAAATCCCACCAGCCTATATAAATGCCATTTTCAATAGGGATGAATAGACTTCCTGAAGAGACACATACAGATAGAGTGAAGCTGATAATGCTTTCGTGCCACACGTTAGTGATATACCAACATACCGCACTGCTGCTTGTAACCTCTTTTAAAAACCAAAACCTCACTGCTTAGGCCTGAATTTTATTATATTTTTCCCCCCTTTCTCACCATTTACCAAAACCCAACCCCAGAACACATCGGAAGAAGCGGAGATGGTAAGCAATGAGAAAGCAGACATGTCTTCAGAACCTGCTGCTCCTGACAAGGATGACAGTAAGAACCCAGAAGCCGCAGAAGTGAAACCCAGAAGAGAAGAAAGTAAAACCCCCAAAGCAAACCTGAGGAAGTTTTTTAAACTGGTAAGCAAGCAGTCGGTTTAAGAGTTTACAGCAATATGTGTGCTGCGAGGACGGGTTGTAATTCTTCGCAAAATCTCTTGAAAAGCGTGCTGCAGCAGAGCTATGCCGGCCTCCAGCGGCCCGTGCTGCTGTGGGACCTAACCTCGCCGCTACTTTTGCCCCCCCCCCCTCCCGCCGCCATTTGCCCCTCGCCCCGTGGCCGCCGCCGCCCGTGCCGCGTTCTGCATCTCCCTCTCGTGGCTCGCCCGGGAACAGCCCCGGGGCTCCGCGCTGGCCCTTTCCCCCCCGCGAGGTGGCACAGGGCGGCCCGGGAGCTCTGAGCCTCCGAGGAAGGCTTCAGCCACCCAAACCGCTTCCACTGGTGCTGCGAGGTCCGGGCTCCTGGAGGAAACCGTCGCCAACAGACACGGCAGCATCCTCTGTCCCTGCGCTGCACCTTTGTTAAACCCTGTGCTTGCCTCGGGGGGTTGATGTTTAGGCGTGGAACTTATTTTGGCAGTTTATGTAGGTTAGCTAAGCTGGCACATAAAAGGGTGTGATTGCTGCTTCAGTATGTTAGACAGAAAATAAAGGCACAAAGTAGTACCCAGTTATTCCCAGAAGACTGGAGGGAAAAAGGAGAGCACTGATTTGGTAACGTGACTGGTGTCATTTGTGGTTATCTGTGTAAAGCTATCCTGATGGATTGGCTTTATACACATATATGTTATATATGAACCTATGCTAATATATATGTTCAAGGACAGGTCGGACAGGGCTTGGAGCAACCTGATCTAGTGGAAGGTGTCCCTGCCCCTGGCCGTGGGTTGGAACTGGATGAGCTTAAGGTGCTTTCCAACCCAAACCAGCCTGGGATTCTATCATTTGTATACAAATGACAGCCAGACAGTATTACTTGAAAGAGTCTAGAGAAGTGGCTAAGAAAGAAAATAATCCAAGTCCAGAACTAGTGCTTCTCTGATTAAAGTTGGCCTTCAGGATTTATATAGCCATTGATCTATTTTGGCAAAGTTTGCAAATATGTGTGGAAGATTTCTATTTTTAACCAACACTGGGTTATTTTCAGGCAGTTGCATTATGTGGGTGTCAGAGTAGCTTATACATTAAAATGTGGAAAGTGTAGTTTCTTACTACCTATCGTAATAAATAGTGCAGGTACATAGCTCACAGGTACATGCTGGTACATACAGCTGTGAACAGATTAAAAAGCTGTCAAAGATTAAAAGTCCCAAGTCAGATCATAGAAGGTACATGCAACAACTCAAATGCTGATTTATTTCCCAAAGATTGCTGTTTCTTTTATTTTCAGGTTTTTGATAGCCCACCCCACAATGGGTACATTTACTTCTTTGTTCTTCAGAGTTACTTTATTACATAGTCACCGGTGTATGTGAGGATCCAAGCTAAAATTCTTGATATCAGTCAAGAATTATGCACCCAATGTGCCTTTAATTCCACATAAGACTTTACAAAATTAGTCAGTTTGGGAAAATCTCAACCTTATTCCTAAATCTGAGGGGACTTGTGGTCATCCTGCATAAAGGCTTGTCACCACAGCACGTGCCAGGCATGCAGAAGCTGACTCAGGAGCAATGCATATGAAACCCTCATGTCCGTGGCAACCATGACTTCAAATAATGTTGCCCTACCCAAAATACTAGCACAGATTAAAACAAATAAAGCTGTTCCACACCCGTTTTAGTCACCATGGAAGAAAAAAGAGCTGTGATAAAAGTAGTAGATGTAAAACACTGCTCTGATCAAAGCAGGGGTTTAATCCAGATTTTGGCCTAGAAAGACAGAACTGGTATATAGGCAAACATCTACTTACGTGGGAAACAGAACTGTATTAACAGTGGAACTGGTTTTGCAGCTTTTTGAAACTTTTAATATTTGTTTGCTCTACTTTTGGCTATCAATTCCAAACAGATTGTGGATTATTTTAATGTATTTATTGTCCTTGAAGTGTGTCATGCTGTTTCCTCTGAATAACTTTGGGATTACTGGATCACTGCCATGCTGTTGCGCACAATCAGAACTATGTAGCTGCTCTACAGCTTTGGGCTGACTGAATAGTCAGTACCTCCAATTCCTAAGGCAGGCAGGATTTTGAGCCACTGCTAAACAGCTAGCTTCTGTAAAGCTTTCGAACTAGTGGTGAGTGCTGAAAATGCATGAAATGTTTAAAAACTCCAGCACAGGCTTGATTTTCTCACAAAGAAAAGCAAAAGAAGCAGGACTTCTTTGATAATACTTTGTTGCTTAATATCCATTCTGGCAATAGGTGGAGCACTGCTCTGGTTGCTGCAAGGGATTGACTTTTAATTTCATGTTAATATGATTGTTTACTGGGTTTCTCTTCTGCCTGCAGAAGATAGTCCCAAGGTGTTCTGGTAACATCCACAGTTAGGTTACACAGGTCAACCCCTCAGGTGTCTAAGAAAAGGTAGCTTATTTTCTTCTTGGAATCCAAGGTTGAGACTCAGAAATTAATTTTAATTCTCCTTCAGTCTATTGTAAGCCTCAGACAGTTATTCTCCATGTGCCTCAGTTTTGACATATTCTCCTCAGATAGCACAAGCCCAGGCCAATAACAAGTAGACATTTAGATTTACTAGCCCTGTAGTCACTGCTACTGACACAAGGACAGCCATTGCAAGAACTAGGAGTAATTTACTTTGCAAAAGGCAGTGAGTGTCTCAAAGACTTGCTCAGTACAGATGTCTCTTCTTATTTGTGATGAATTGTTTGCAATTGCAAAGGTCACAAAAATCACTGCTGTGGTTAAAATGGAGATGGTTAACTAATGCTATAAAAGCTGTTGGGAAATTATAGAAAAATAGAAAGTATTAGTTTAAATCCCTGCATTTCAATAAGAGATGAAGAAATAGCATAGCCACGATATCTATGCCACACCTACATGAATGTGAAATCTTATGCTTCCAAATTAAAGTCACTCATGCCACATTAATCAAAATCAAAGAGCTATCTTATTGTTTACAGGGTGGGATACATCAACCCCAGTCCAAATGTCTTGATAGAAATGGCTACACCTGAGCTAGTCACCCTGAGTTCTCTTTAAAAGCATTGAGTAGAGGTGAGCAGGTCTGAGAACCCCATAAGGACATGTCAGATGATGTGAGCCCTTAAAGTCACTGCTTTTCTCCATAGAATATAAACTAAAGAGCTAGGTAAGATAAATAGAAAATGTCTGGCTTGAGATGTTTTGTGGAGATAGGGTGTAAAATGGTAATTTTTATCAGAATTACCAACTGTTAACTGAGGCCTTTGTCCTCAGCTGGAAAGTTGACATGGTTGGTCTGAGACAGCATTGAGTATGGTCTCAACAAATAAAATGTCCTATTCTCTGGGTTAGTGAAGATGTTCCCAAGGGGTATTTATCTTTCTGGAATAACAAAAAAGACCTTTTCTAAATTTCAGCAGTGTCTATGCTGACCTGCTTGTGCACATAAATAAACTTGCACATAAGAAATAGCATTTGGAGTCAAGTTAACCATTTTATGCTGTCCCAACTTAATTTTCCTTCATTATTCATGAGAATGTAGCATGTCTATCCCCTGTCCCCACTCTCCTCCATTTAAAGATATGCTGATCCACCCCTGCTGCAGAAAGCAGAAAACCCTTTCAGGAACCTTTCAGCAGCAGCAATCCTAAATGACCAGAGGCAAGGATAAGAGGTCAGCAGTGCTCTAAAGAGAAATCCTTGTGATCCTTACATATGTGTTTCACAGAAGGCAAGAGGCAACTTTGTCCAATACTCATTTATTTATTAAAAAAAGAAAAAAAGTGGATTACTAAAGGTTGGCTAAAATAGCTTTTTTATTTTTTTTATGGGATTTTTTTTTAAGGGGGGAAAATGTAGCAAAGTAGTTGCTTGTTATAACACAAACTTTTTCTTTTTAAGGCATTTAAAGGCTTACTGAAATAGAAATGCAAACTAGATCTTATCACAGTACATCTTCATACACTCTGGACTTAGTTTCTATCCTGTCATGTTAAGACAGACCACACTGTGCTTCCTCCCCTCCATTTCTGCAACTTGTTACACAGATAAAGAGTCGCGAGCATAAACATGCAAGAGGCTGAGCAGTGGCATGTTCCAGAAAGAGAATTTTTTCCCCCATGGTTTGTGACAAGTAATGAATTGTCATGGAGTGGTTTAGTTTTCTATCGTGCTGCTGCTACATATGGATTTCCTGTGGTTTCATAGGAAAATCAGAGACTGAAACTGGTCCTTGCAGTAACAGCGTACACAGGATCAAGCTGATACTGTTGTGCTTCAAGTAACAAATCTAGAAGCTGCAGAAAACCACAAATCCGCCTGATCTATCTTTAGAACAAAAGTCACATCCTTTCATTGTTTTCATTGAACTTAGGCAATGAAAAATGACATTTAAATTTGGGCACTTTGAAATTCTGGAATTTATTTTGTGCTTTACTGCTAAGCTCTGTAGCTTATATGGCACTCAGGGGAATGCTACATTGAACTCTCTAGCATGCTTTTTAATTAAAAATATACATACCATTGCTTTTGTTTCTTTTATAGCATTAATTGTAGCTAAACCTCAGTCTGTCAGAAATCTTGTAATGTTTATTCATTGTGCTAGTTTTGTCAAATGGGTTTTTCTCATTTTTAAATCTAGATAGAAACAGGGGATCATACCTTAAAAACCTACTTCAGAGTTTGATTGGAGTGCTACAGCCTCAGGGTCTGCTGTCATTGTCCAGGCTGGGAAAAGTGGGCACCAAGAAGATCCATTATTTCGATGGATATAGAGAGAAAGTATAAACTGGAAAGGAGAAATTGGGAAAAATGGATGCTGATGATAAAATATAAAAATATATGTATAAAGCTGAGTGGGTTTTAATTATTCATGGTATAGGAACTTATTATGATTGCTAAATAGAAAGGAAGTCCCACTAGATCTTCTAAGGCAGATTTGCCTCTGAAAAGCAAGCAAAAGCTCTTTCCTAGAAAACTACAGTGGCAGGGCTGATAGCACTGTCTTGTTTACTGCCTGCTCTGATCTCTGGTCCATGGAGACCTTGTTCATGTTTCTCAGGCCTTAAAGGAAAAATTGACTTGCAAGAGACAATCACTTCACACAGAAAAGAACAAGCAGAAATCTACCTTAGAGATGTGGGCATTTCAAAAGCGTTGGTAGAGTTTCTGAAACGTCTGGGTTTGGTTCAGTGCTGTAAAAAGTATCTGTATATCAAACCTTGCATATGTTGGCTCTTGTGTGTTTTCATATTGGATTAATGCCTCAAACAGGAACCCAGTTAGGACCCCTATAATCCATTGTCATTTTAGTCAGTGATGGAGGGACAACCAGTTCAGAAGAGGTAAATGCCTGGATATTTTCATCTTTTGGTAATGGGCTGTTGTCACCTACTTCCATACAACTCTAGCTTTTGGAATGCAAAAGTCACTGAAACAAAAAAGTGCTACATGCTCACTGGGCTTTAAATATTTACATATTTCATTACTTCTCTATTTTTTACCTATTCATGCTATTAAATAAATTTTAAAGTTTTGCTATCAATTTTTTAAAAATAAATAATCCAGTTATATTCCTTTTCTTAAAATATTGGTTTTATGTTCAATTTTATTCCTATCCCTCTTGCCATTATTTTATTTCCCCGTGTGCCTTGGCTTAGGCAGTGAAACTAAATACACACAGCTAGAATTATTTTTACTTCGATTCACTTGTCTGCTGAGGAAGGGACCAATTAGATGGAAACTCTGCAGATGAGAAATGGAAGTGAAAATGAAAACTGGTCACTGCAATTTAACAAAAGCCATGAAAAGGCTTGTTATTATTCAGTTTTTGTTTCTTGCATTCTATGTTCGTAAAAGGTAAACCAAAACTTTGGATGTGACCTTTACAGTATATTCTTTATGGCTTTAAAAATGATTCAGAAAAATCACATTTTCATTAGAAATACAAATATAAATGTCAGAGAGTCAAACCCTCATCTGTTGCAAGTATCCAGAATAATTGCATTTAGTAATGGGAGATAAAACACAGGTTCTGTGTATAGATACAGGGTTTCCTTTAACCTGAGTAAAACTGAAGTTACATTGAAAAACTGGCTGTTCAGAATTTCCCTTTTTATGTTCTTTTTTAATTATTAGTGAAATTATTTTCTCACTTTTCCTGTTTTCATGATGTCCTATGATAGGAAGGTTAATCTTTATGAATTATTTCTCTAAAAACATCCCAAATATAGGTCTGGTCTTGTGACATTTATTACTTCTGTCATACAACAACCTTATGTAAGTGACTAAAAGTTAAAGTCCTGGATCTAGTTTTTGTTATTTCAACTAGCAGCCAATTTCCTTCCAAGCTTTTCTTAGTCAAATTATTACTCTTTCCTCTCTTGCTTACACTGGTGTAACTTAGGACAGTTTTATTACACAGACAAGCTCAAGGCAGGCTGTATCTGCTGTTGACTTTTTCCTTTTTTAGAATTTTTGTGAAATTTAGAGGGTTTTGTTCAGTTATGCTGTGGCATCTCTGGAATGCCATGATTCTCCTTTGCTTTTCATCACTGCCATTCTGTATGCTGCAGAAATCATAACAACACTTTCCCAGAATCTGTAGAAATTTTGGGGTCTGCCTCCGGCGCTTAAGGAGCAGCCTTGGATTAAAGTCTCCTGCAACATGATGGGGAAGAATACTAACCTGGTAATCTTTTTTCAGTGCCTCTGTTAATGTTGAGAGAGTAAAAACAATCTGTCAGGTGCAGATGCCTCTTTAGAATAAGAAACATTAACATTTTTCATTATTCATAGGCTTCGCTTTGTGTTTCCTGAGCTGCTCCCATCAATATAAAATATGCCAATTTCCTGCCTTTCAAAGTTAATATGAAACACCTCAGGGATTATCTGATTTGAACTTTTTTTTCTTATTTTGTCTGGAAAATGTATTATGAATTACTTTTTTTTTTCAAGTGTTTTGTTTGACTAACATCAAAGGCCCAAACCTGCTCACAGAAATAGTCCTGTTTCATCCAGGCCAGATTTGGCTGCAATACTGTTAACTCTCGGGTACCTACACAATCAAGCACATGTGATGAGGAAGACTTGGGTCTAATTTTACACCTGCAGAGTAAACACACACAGATTTCACAGTGTTAATAAGAGTTATTCTGGCACCTTTGAATTCAGACATACCCAGTTTCACAGCCGTATTTTGGGTGCTGTGGTTATTTTTGAACTACATGTGCGCATTTGCAGTTGTACCAAAGAGAAAAATTTCAAAAGCAAACTAAGGTGAGAGCAGGAAGGGTCTTGTCAAACTAATTGATGGGGCCAGCAACTGAGAGCTTCTCCTCAGATAGTTAAAATGAGTCAGAAAGAAAGAGGCAGAGCTAAAGTGGGTTTTATGGAGTTCTACTTGGCCTTGTAGTGGGAGAGCTTCAGCATCACTCGGAGACTCAAAAGTGAATCCAGGCAAGTCTCTCTCTTCACACAAGGTGAACAAGACACATGTAGTGTGTGGTAGCTGTGCAGCCCCAGATGACAGTTCTCCTGCAGTCTGACATTGCTAAATGTGCATTAGTAAGCTATTGACGCTCGGTGCCTGCCTGTGGTGTGTGGGGTTGCTGATCACCCACATCTCCAGGTCTCTTGTGTTGTCTCCATGTAAATCCCACAGAAGTAGAGCAAAGACTAGCTTCAGGACTGTGTTTTTTAAGCCTAAAAGCAGACAAATCCAGATGTAAGCAAATATATACCCACATATGTCTGTTCTCTGGGAAAGGAAATAGTTAAATAGAAACACGTATCTTGTTGAGGACTTTAGCCTGCTGGTCAAGACTGAATGGATTAAATGGTTGCTGGTTCTGTAATTTAAATCGGGAGAGGGTTAATATTGGGTGTGGAAGAAAAGTGAATCAAGTTAAAACAGGCCAGCAGTAGTATTGCTAACCCCTCTCATTCCTGTTTCCCCAATGTTAGCATGGCTTGAGGGGGTTTTTTAATAGATGTAAGAGGTGTGTTTGCGTTCCATTTCCCTGGAGTTTCTGCTTTCAGATTTTTCTCTGAAATCATGATATCTAAAAATGCTTTTGTTTCTAAGGAAAGCTAAGCTTGTCATGTAAGCATATAACCTTATGCTTCTAGAACGCCAAATATCTTAAGACTAATAGTAAAATCCCCAAAGTAAAATTACACAGCATTCAGCTCTGAGCTGTGCTTTAAGGGCAGATGTAAGATTTCCAGCTTTTCAACATGGCAAATTTATGTGCTATTTTACTTATTGTGTTAATAAATAAGGCAGTATAATTTTTTGCATAAGAAAAACAGAAAATCCCATTTGCAAATAGATTTCCTATTAAAACCATACCTAGTCACTTGCAGTGACAGTTTAATTGTCTCATCCTTTGTTTGTCAGATACAGTTTTTCTCCTGTCAACTTCAAACATATCCCTTGCTTCTCTGAGTTTCAGAATATTTTCTTTTACTATAAACAGCTGCTCTGTCATTGTGTTTGTCTTTGGAATATTTGCTATCTCTTCTTTTGTACTTGTAGGTGAAATGATGCTGTGACCGTCCATAGCCAAACCCTGTGTTCATTTTTTGGTGAAGTGCTGCAGTTTTATAGAGGAGTTGATTTTTATCTTTTGCTTTATGGTGTCTTTAATTCCTTTCTTTTTCCTTACGAATCTTTCCATTGCACTTTTTGAGTGCTTTCCACAGCCTGGGATGCAAAAGCTGGCGGAGTCTCAGTTGGCAGTGCATGCTTGTGATTCTGTGCATCTTTCCATGCTGTCCTCTGCCTCTTAAAACAGCTTCAGCATAGACATATATGTAAGTAAAGCAAGTCTATGCAGGGATGGTTTAATCCTGCAAGTAATTCTATCAGCTCCCTAGGAGTCCTTCCCTAAGTCAGGGCTGCAGGAGTTCATCCCAAACTCTGTAAATGAAAACCTGTTGGACAGCAGGATTTCTCCCTGCCAGGTGGCCTTTCATTTTTTAATATATTTATGGATTGCCTTCCAAAATGTTTACATTTCGCACTAAAAATAACCCTTGTTTGAAACTGCTTTAGACATTAAACTCCACAGAGAGGCCAGTTGCCCCAGCTGAAAGTGAACCTGTGGGCCAAAAGAGCAAAGAGAGTTCAAAAGACAAGAAGTCTACAGTGGAGCTGAGCAAGCAGAAAGGCAGCAAACAGGAAACCAGGGAGCAGCCAGACTCCAGGGAGCAGCAAGCAGCCGAGACGGACTCCATCCAGAACGGAGGAGACGCTTCAAAGGAACCCTCCTTCAAGAAGACAGAGAAGAGGCAGTCACTTGGAGGGTTTTTTAAGGGCCTTGTACGTGTACTTGATCTTATCTTTCTGGTTCGTTTTCAGCTGATTTAAGCAGCCAGCCTTCAAGCTGTTGCCATGTGAGATCTGTGCTTAGATGGAGTGCACCTTCACAAGCAGCTTGCAGGGCTAAAGTCAAACAACAGCAAATTTTGGACAAAGAAAACTTGGGCCTCAGGGTACTGATTCATGGGCAGGTACTGCTTACTATGGGAGAGCTATAATTGTTCCCATGCCTCTGGTTTAGAGGTTCATGCCTTGGCTATGGGGATGACTCAACTGTTCCTGCAGCAGGTACTGAACCACCTACAAATTACACTGTGTTTACTAAGGAAAAGTGGAGGTGGTGCCAGTTTCCCAGAGTAACCTGCTGGCCATGATGCTGGTTCAGCTCCTGCTTCAGAGCAGCTGGGACATCCCTGTAAGGTGGGAAATCCCTGTAAGGAAAAGAATCAACATAGACCACTGGGTGGGTAGGAACCAGCATACTGGTCACAAGATAAGCACCTCATATTATATGTTATCAGTTATAGACTACTCAGAGCATACAAAAAATACATACTATTTTTTTCTTCCTGCATTTTTGGTCACATCTTACCCTAAATTTGCTGTGTTCCCTTCACTGAAACCTGAAATTTAAATAGGAAAGAATTCAGCATAATGAAAATCTGAGTTTCTGTAAGGCTTGGTGTTACTGATTCAGATAGTGGTTCCTCAGAGCATTAAATAGATGGAAACTTTTCTTTTCCCCCCTGTCCATATCCAGGGGCAAGTATAGAAACAGAAGCACAGGTTAGACCTATGACTGCCACTCAAGCCTTAGCAAGAGGGCAGATTTCCATTGCTTTTTATATATAATATAAATTTATATCTAAACTGCAGTTTGCTTCTCTTTCCTCATACAACAGCAATGAATCCACAGAGCTAAGGGGTCATTTTTAGCATCTTTCGTAAACCTGTGTGCAAACCGAGCTTCATCAGAAATTTCATGTGGTGCAAAGAAACCAAGCAGATTTGACTGCTGCCTGCAGTGATTCCTAGTGAGTTTGGCTCCCTTGAGAGGCAGACAGCTTTTTGTTTTTTCCTTCCTCCCTATCTTACTTGTAAGGCTGTCAGAAGAGGAAAAGAGCCAGGCAGCCCTCCAGGTCTGAAAGAAGTCAAGCAATGCAGACTGACATGGTAGTGCAGATTTGAACACTAGCCCTGTTAGGACATAGGTTTATAAAGTTAGGCTGCTGTGCAGACCAGAATGACTCATTCAGAAGCAAATGTTTTTCCACATCATAAGAAGTGTTTAATTTGCATGCATTTCACAGAATTACTATGTATCCTACAGAGGGAGATTTGCATTACTAAAATAATTACACATTAGAAGGGGAATTAAGAAGAAAAGAAAAATAACTTTCTGCAGTATTGATTAGTGACAGTTCATTACTGCTTTCTGCTTCACCCCATTGTTCCGGGATAAAATCCAGTGGGATTTTCCTGTAGTTTCAATAGAGCAAAAAAGTCCTGGAGCTCATCTGGGTAACTAGCAACTTGCACTCACTTCCACTCTTCTTGCTGAGTGTGGTGAGGCCCTGGTGCAGGTTTCCCAGAGAAGCTGTGGCTGCCCCATCCCTGGCAGTGTTCAAGGCCAGGTTGGACAGGGCTTGGAGCAGTAGAAGGTGCCCCCGTCCTTGATCTTTAAGATCCTTTCCAACCCAAACTGTTTTATGATTTTTCTTAGCTCAATGTGAAAAAGCCAGGCTATTGTTTTATATGTACCTGTGAATGACACTAGCTAGTTGAAGTCACCAAACACATGCGTGCTCAGGCACACTTTGCTTTCCTCACCCTCTTTGCCTCCAAATTCTGCAAGAAATTTCCATTATGCACAACAATGTTGCATGCGTGTAACATCTGATTGACGCTCACAAGCACAGTATGTAGTTGTCATATCCTGCTCTGGGTATTGGCAACCTCCCCCCAGCAGTGAAATCAGGAGTTCTGTTACTTAAATCACTTAAATGATGGTAACAGATCTCTTACATCAACTGGAGAGGAGGAAAACAGCCACGTTTTTCTGTCATAGGTTATCTAGAAACGGGGCAAATGTTAACTACCTCTATTATTTCTGGAGATAATTGAGATTTGTTTCTCTGGGCCGGAGATTTGTTGAAATTGAGCACTGACAGCCCTTCTTTATCAAAGTTCTCACTGTAGCCACTGTGTGAGAAAGGGTTTGTCTGTCGACAGTTGCACTTTATTTTGTATGGTGTCATTCATTCAAGCTGTATCTTCAAATCTTTCATAGAGTTTAACAATGGATACATATTTAGAATTATTCCAGAAAGGGAGATACGAGGAATTGCAAGCTAGCAAGGAAATAAGTTTTCCAGTGCAAGTTCATGAAAGGCAGACAGAGAGGCAGGAAAGGTGCCTCTGATTCAAAAGGTAAGAAAAAGCTTTTTTACCAAGAGAGGAGATTGTGAAGAAGTAAAATGACCACCTGGGGGGAAAAATGCAAAATAAATATAGAAGTATAGATGTTCTGTGAGATATTTGTGCTTGCTCGAGTAATAGGCAGACAGTTGGCTGTATAGTCTCTTATCTTCTGTTGCAATTATAGAGGCCAATAATATTCCTACAACTTCCTTCTCACATTAGCAGAAAATGGCACTTTAAAACAACAACAACAAATTATAACAGTATAACTGATTTGGTCAGTTTACTGTGCTTTTGAACTGGGAGGGAAAAAAGATGTCTTACAATAGATTATTACCTCTTTTGAATATCCCCAGAAAGAAAGAAAACCAGTTCTGCAATGCTTCTTAAAAGTAATCCGCCCATCTCCTAGGTGGATCCTAAGTCCCAAGAAGGTGTAATCATTAATCTAGAAGTATTAGAACATACACCAAAGCCAGAATTTCCACTTCAAGATAACAGTTCAAATATCTGGTAACAACTCGGCTAAAATATTAAGCTTTACACTGATAAAATGGAATCAGTGATTGGATTAACAGGGGATCCAGCAGACTTTACTTGCTCATATAACCTGTGCCCACCAAGCTCCTCCTAAATTCTGGTGAGCTGTTTTAATACCACTCTTTCCTGAATCTGTCGATTCCTCTGGGAAAGGGCACACGGTAAGAAGATGTCATAGTGCAGGAATGCAACTGATGAGAACACTGCAGTCCAAGCATCTGTTCCAGTTGTGCTAACAAATGCTAAAAGTCTTGATACAAATGGATCCTCTTAGGCAATCAAAGTGTTACCACCCAGCTGCATAGTTTTAGTACAGATGATAAGGTCCAGTGGTTGCTTCTATGGTAAAAGAGATTAATTTATAAGCTATATGAAATAAAAAGGTATTTAGTGAGTCTTAGAAAGATTAGATTAGAAAGAAAAAAGGGGGGGGGATAGGATTAATAACATTGTTTTCTAAGCTGGAATAACTCATTCTTAAATTGTCAGAAGCTGGGAGTGCTTAGCATATGGAAACTATTCTGACCTACTCTGATCACAATATCTGGTATATGGCACAACCTGGAAAAAAATATGCTCCAATACAGTGACATTCCTGTGTGTGCACTTTAAAGTGGTCTGCCCAAGATAATACGTTCCATCTTAGCTGTCACAAATGCAGGGAACTTCCACTGCACCGAAAGGGCCTCTTCAAAGTAACGGAGGGCAAAATGTGAGCCAATGGTACCCATGATTCTGTATCTGAGGGCAGAGCTCGAATTTGTCCGTTAAAAGGGCAGGAACAAAGTTCTTTATTTCACAGCAGGCTTAGAAATTCCAGTTTAACAAGAATCATCAGCCAGTCTCCCTCCAAGCTTCCTGTTTTAATCAGCAACCACCTTTAAAATGGGTGCAGCAGGGAGACTGTCCTATAAGCAAATAGCATGACACCTCTGCAATTGTGCTAAATGAGTCAAAATAGGGATTATCTCAAATGAGCTGCTCCTCCTCTCCTTCTTCTTCCACCCTAGGAAGAATAGCAAATAGCAAAATCTTGTTTCCTAGATCACCCTAGAAATGGCTTAATACCTTCATGCATCAGATGGGAACAGCTACAGTTAACAGATTCCATTACTCTTGTAGAATGGAAATATTTGAACTAATATGTAGTTTTTTGGGTTGCTGGATGAATTTGGAACGATTAGCTCATTTGGTATTGTTCGATGGGTGTTAGAAATTAGTACTTTTTTCCTTTTAATGTCTTCCATTCCCTGCTACATATAAGTGGCCAAAAAAATTATTCTGGTCTAGAGCATCTTCCAAACTCACCATCTGTGTAAGCAGAAGCAAACCTATTGCCACTGAGCTACACAAGATTACAGTTAGTTTAAGATGGGGGTGGGGGGTGTCTTTTAGTCCATTGTGATTTTTAGCTGCTCATTTTTATGCTTAGGTTTCCAAAGGTGGAAAGTTAAAAGAATATCAGTGAGGTGGAGTCTAATCAGTATAAAACCCCCACTGTTTTTACTTCCCTGAAAGGGATGAGGAAGTTGAGATCTTTTAATTCTCCCAGTCTGATACAGAATAGTCCTATGGTGATCTGAAGTGATGAGTCAGGTTTCCACTGGAAATGTACTGTGTGAGAGAACAATTCACATATGATTCTTCAGAGTTCCTATTGCAGGGAATGCACATATCAGTCACCTTTAGCCTTGTCACGTTATTTTTTCTTTTTAGCATGTAATGATTTAAGCATCTGGCTACAAACAGGATTGGTATCCTCTGCAATGTTAGTAGTGACCTCTGAAACAGTGTTTGTGGATCCATTCTGCTGTCATGTTGTGAAATTTTCGTGGCTTCAAGGCCAGTAAAATTAGTTCAAGGCATCTTAAACTGAAGCCAAGATTTTTACTAGTCAGAAATGTAGTTGGTATAGCTACATCTATGCATTTCGTTCATCTAAGCTGGATTAGTGTCTTGAACTAGTTCCAAAACTAGAATTATATTTGTAGTGTAAAAAAGCTTTATCACTCTAACATTGTCAAATGCCTGTCATGCATAAAAGTATTTAATGTTCCTTTAACTTAGAGCAGACCAAGGCTGGCTATAATACACTATTAATCATGCTTGAAGGACTCCTTGCATGGTTTCAGTGAACCATTTAGGCCAGAGAAATTTTACAGTTATGCCAAAACTGTAATACTACAAGTACACAGCAACGTCTCTCTGGTATGTTAGTGCAGTTTCTAAAGACAGTTGTTTTCCATGCTGACTAGGAAAGTCATATTAAAATAATCAACACATTCAGGCAAAGTCACAAGCAGTATCTCTCTGGGATTGTCACGATACAGATGGTGCTCATATATTTATGCATATTAAAGAAAGTGTAAATTAAGAAAAGCAAAGGTGAAATGAGTGGAAAAAATCTGGTAGTAGAACTCTTAAGACATAATCCCAGATTTAACTGTTCTGGAATGTTTGAAAATTTGTATAAATTTCTCTGTCTTATTCCACAGGGTTCCAAAAGGACGTCTGATGCAGAAGTGCAAACAGATCCAGTGTCTATCCTACCTGCTGGGAAATCCAAGTAATGAATATGCTTGGCTGCTGAAGTATCAGCAGCTCTCTGAGAGCAACCTTGCAGTAGGGATGACTCATTATTTTCCTTTACATGGCTGTCATCAAATGCCTGAGGCTAAAGCAAACACTGGTGTATCATTTAAGGTATATCATTTACAGGATTTCTTCATTAGATGTTAGAAAGCAACTCTAAAGGTCATCAAGCAATGTGCAGTGTATTTAAAGAAAGGTCATGTGGATGATTTTAAGTCTATAGAGGGGTGAGTATGTAAGATTAGAAAGTGGCAGTGAATTAAATAAATGGCAGGAAAAAATGCATGTGACAAAGGAATGCAGTTTGTGCAGCAAGGCACGAGCAATAAATCCTCAGCTTTAGAGAGCTTTAAAGCAGCCAGGGAAAAAAAAAATCCCCTTTAGTAAATGTTATACTTAAATGTAAAAACAACCAAGTCACTTTCCATGGTTTTCGACAGAGCTGAAATTAGCAAAAAGTCTGCAGTATAATAGAATCAGTGGTTGTAAAGTCGTGCTTCATATTGGTTATTAATGTAAATTAAAAAGCTAAAATGCAAAGGCTTTATATGATTGAGACAACTTCTCTCTTGTCTTGCTGAGGTGGGATAACAAATTAAAAACTCTTTCAGGTTCTAATAGGAACACAAGGGGGCACCCGCGTCCCCACCGCCGTCCTAACTCCGAGGCTGTACCTACAATCCTGTTATTAATGTTTTTCAGATGATAGAAAACGTAGGTGTTTCATCAGATATTTGTTGATATCCATACTTGTAATTAATCCTAATAAAAACCAAAATCAAGGCTGTCCAGGCACCTCCCTGCTTCACAAGGCTCCTGTAATAACTGTAGTTAATAAATTTTACAGAAAGTTAAGATTTTTGTTTATTCAGCCCTGGGCTCCCCTGGATGGGGAAGCGTGGGCCTGACATTTTAATCCACACTAGCATCTGAACGATACAGTACTGTATATTTTGACCTCCTTATGATTAAATAAACAAATACTTATCCTTTCAAAAAAGAAGTCATTTGCTGCTTCAGTCTTAAAAGAAAGTTTGTTATTTACATCCCTGCTTTCTGATGGTTGATGTGACATTAAGACATAAATCAACACATAAAAACCCTGCCTGGGAGTGAATAGCTGTCATTCTTTATTTGAGCAAAGTTTATAACTGGAAATCAAGTGAGAATTCTGTAAAATCTGCAGAATTACATTTCCAACCTGTCATACGAGACAGAAGTAAGAAAGCCTTGTTTCTCTATACAAGCCATTAGGTGGCATTTTGCACTGGCCTCTGCAAACCTGTGGACTCAGTGGCAAATGACCAAAAACTTGCCACTGCCTCTATGCACAGAGAACACAGACAAAAGGTCTTTGAGTTGTAACAGCACTTTCTGTTCTCCTCCCTACCACAATGGCTCTTTCACACCATATAAAGTTATATCAATCAAGACTGACTGCTTGCAGATTTCAAACCTGATTCATAACAACCTATTTCTACATCTGTGTGGGGCTGGTGACCTCTGCGCATCCCCATTTATGGGAGCATGAGAGAAGAATTGGGCTTGTTATATCCAGCTTTGCTCTACAAAAAAAAAAGTCTTGGGCTTTCTCTGTACTACAGGGACATGCAGCATGTAAAGTTACATACAGTGAGGCATGGTTACATGCCAGATGTCAGCATAGTGAGTGTTACCAGCAAAGAGGAATAAGCCATCATGCTATTTGCTGACTTCATACTGCTGTAACTGCCCCTGTATTAAAATAGTACTTAAGCAATTTTCAAATAAAAGTATATGCTGGGTAATTCATTATATTATAGACTGCGTATATATGTGTAAAATCATATTACAGACAGTGTAGATATTAATATTATATTATGGATAGATGAGGCCTTCTGTGGAAAAGAACAACTCTTCCTTAGTCCAGTCTTTAGGAGCAGGTCTGCCTTAATTGAATCCTATATTCCCGAGGCAATCAGGACTGCTGACCATGTGATTTGACCATATCACTTGGCAATGCAGCTAATTTCAGGAATCAGGAAATCCTCTTGGCAGAAAAACAAGAAAAACAGTAAGTTTGGCTGTGGATGCCCCTTATGCCACTGAGCTATTATTGCAGATGAAATAACGGTTAGTGTTGGCACTGCCTCCTACATAGAAACTCCCCGATTTGATTCGTCTCTGATAACAGGAGCAACACAAGCTTTGAAGAAGCGAATCAGCTTTCTCATAAGGCAGCAACACATGAAGCCCCAAGAGGAAGAAAGGTCTTAGGAGATGCATCCAGTTAAGCTGAGCTTCCGCATTCCACATGCCATGTAAGAAACATAGAAGTACAGCTTTTATGTTCAGGCCCGGTAAAGATTAACAAGTCATTTGGAAATCAAAGCTCTGGAAGAGGCTGCAGTCCAAGACAAAGGAAAAGAGCAGCCAAAGTAATACATTGCATTTAGACTCTGCTGTCAACAAATAAGCTCTGGGTTTATTCATAGGATCTTTTGAGGGGAACTGAAGCAGATCAGACTGCCTCAAGGATCTTAAGGTGTGTTTCATGAGGCATTTCAGAAGAATTTTAAGAAGCTAGTGCAGTCTCATAAATATAAAAATCCCAGGGAATGGATTAAATAGCTGCTTTTTGTGTAAGAAATGCTTCCCTCCCATGGCTGTCTCCAGGATGAGCCTTCGGTGGGCGAGCCCTGCTCGCTATCCCAGTACAGAAAATGGAGCAGCTCCGCAGCACGCTGGGTACCATGGGTTTTTATAACCTGAAAGCAAATGATCTCCCATGAAAGCATATCTGAGCTCACTTCCTCTGTCCAGATGTTTAGCTGCACTGCAAGAAGGTTTCTGCAGATAACTCCTCACAGAACTGCCTGCACTGGCTCTTACAGTGCACAGCCCCACTAGAGCAATGTGATTTCTGGTACTAAACATTCAGCCCATTAACTGTGTGCATTAATTGTGGCCGCCATGACGCTGCCTGGATTTCTCTGGTGGGAATGCTGAGGCCTGTTGGTGGCTGCAAAATAGCCACAAAGTGTAACTAATCACTTAGGGGGCTGTAGAAGAGACCTCACCACATGCATGAAGCGTTGCTCTGAAGGCTGACGGCAGAGCAGCTGGCTGTTGTGTGTGTGGGCAGCATCCCACCTCCATGCCCCATGATGTCCACGTGCTCTCAGCCCCCTACAGCCTCCTCCACCCACTGCTCCTGCGCCAGCTAAAACCGGGGGGGGGGCTGCCAAGGAGTTTCTGTCCCAGCTCCTGCAGGATATATGCCTGAAAATATCATAATTACACTCTTGTTCCTGTATAACAGGATCTTCCAAGGTTCCTGTGAGCCGCCTGTCTGCTGAAAGCATTTGTGCTGTTGAATGACGTATATCTATCAGTCACAGTGCATTTGAACACCTCTGAGAGTATCTAGAAAGCACAGGCTTTCTCCCTGTTGACCATGCTAGACCTCTATCTACCCTCAGCATGGTGTTAAGCTGGAGCGGTGAGAATCTGATTAGGATCTTGCCCCTTGTAAGTACAAGATTCTTCACTTTAGGTGATGAGGGGTAAATCTGCTTACACTCGAGACCAGGATCTGTTACACACAGGAGTGACAAAGCTGCTTCCAGGGCTTGTGTGTTTCATATTGCTGGCTCTGAACCCAGGGCTTAGAACATGTTTTAAGACTACCTTAATATCTTTTTATATGTAAATGTTTACAGCTGGCTTTGAGGCGACTTATGCCACAAAATCCATGGTTTCATACATAGAAAAGATAGCATGGCAGAAGACAAACAGAAAGGGTTAGTGCACAGATGAATCTTTGGTTGTGGGAACTGACCCCATTTGTGAGGTTAAAGATGGAATAGCTCTAGCTTCAGTATACTCATTTGGGAATAACAGTGAAGAATCCGGATTTGCTGTAGACTCCACCTCTTCTGGATAACACACCCAGGTCTTTACTGGCAACTTCAGCAGTTTAGCAGTTCTGAGAACACAAAAACAGGAAATTCTGCAGCAGTCTTGACGGAGGCTGAAGATGAGTATAAATTCCTTAAAGATTGTATTCTTTTCTGAAAACAAATTATGGAAAGCCTCGAAGAAGAATAAAACCCTTATCAACACTCTTTGCTTTTACTTAATCATTTCCTATTAAGTTTGTCACCTACTAAACTGCATAGGAAAACAGCCTCCTGCACAGGAAGCATTAGCAATTTGAGTTTAAACCGGAAAGGTATAAAGTCCAAATTCCTTCTTTATCACATCCCACTGTAAGCAGGTGATGCAGTATTCCACAATACCCCTTCACCTACCCTTACACAGAGTAGGAGAAAGGTCCTTTATGATTATCATAATGATAAAGATACACCCTGGACACAATCTTCAGGGCATTTAAAATGTTGTTGAAGTACTTCATAAATTTTAAGGGTATTTGTGATTACTTCATTAGAGCTGTTTGGAAAAGAGAAAGGAAGTAAAGATTAAGCTGCAGTTTCCACTTTTATTTCTGTCATCAGTTTCTAGTCAGTTGGAGAAATAGTCTCTTAGTTGTTATAAACTGAAATTGTATTATTGAGTAAATGAGTTTGAAGTAACCCAGTACGTTGAGGCACTGTCATCACAGGAAGCTTGCTTTTTGCAGCTTTTGAGCACTGGCAGTAGCTGTCATAAGTGGAGGAGAAGAATTGCTTGGGAAAAATTTGCTTGTAAAATTGAGCTTGCCTCTGAAGCAAGCTTTCTTCTGTTTTTTCTTTAACACTGATTCACAGTATTGGAAAAGCATGTAATTATCAACTGCCCTGTTCCTACACAAATAGATTATATAAGCCCTGATAAGCAGAAGACTGATAAAAATAAGAACATATGTCTGTCTGGTAGAACTGAAAATCTTCCTATCACTCATTCACTGCAGAAAGCCCAAATCAAAACACTGCTGTCACGATTCCTCCACAGGCAGGTTGTCACAGAGCGCTGCATTCAGGGAGCAGATCCCTTCAAGAGCATAAACAGAGGGCTTGGAAGAAAGCGTGGGATTTTGCCAGCAGCTGGCTTCAGCCTCCACCTCTGCGGGCTGGGAGGGAGCGTGGGGTAACCGGGCAGTAGGCAGCGCTGTAATCACTGCTACAATGACCGGCTTGTAAGAACAGCAAGAGCTTAGCTTGCAGATGTCCTGCTGCCTGCTTCAGATCCTGTATCTTTTCCTTCTTAAAGCCTTTTTACTCATCCTCTGCGTAGGAGACCATAAATTCCTGCCTCTGCATAGCTTGTGCTATTTCTAGTGAATATATGAACACAGGTGCTTGTTGCCACCATTCTGGCTTGTTGCCACCATACATACCCTACTATGTATGAATGCACATCGTGCTTTGCTTCTGAGAATATCAGGTTCATATAAACATCTAGATAAATAGATATCTGGTGAGTTCCTAAAGCCTGGTGATTCTTACTGGAAGTACTATGAGAGACTTGCAGAAGTAAACCTGTATTAGCTGTGTCGCTAAAGTATTTTACAGCCTTGGGTATTTATTTCTGTAAACTAAAATCCCTGGGTATGACCTGAGGTGACTGAAAGGTGTCCTCTCCCTCAGCTGCCAGCAGAATAGAATAACAAGTAGGTGGAGACAATAACCACTTAAATGTATGCAGCACAGATTAGCAGGCATCCTTCATCAAATTCAGTAATTAAAGCTAGACAGCTTCAATAGCACCTATTTATCGACACAAAATGTATATCTACATTCAAATTCTGAATCATGGAGCAGAATCTGGTCCTGGGTGTTAGGGAATCAATTCCCTGTATCCAGGAACCCACCAACAGTGTACACAAGAAGCATTTTGGTGATTGCAGCTAAGTGCTTGCAACTGTGTTAGCAGCACACCCCTGCCGGAGACACCAGTTACACACATTTAATTCCAGTATGACTAAATCCACACTAAGGCTTTTATCAATGTTGTGACTGTACTTGAAAATCATTTTTGGCTCTCTTCTCCCACCCTCTCGCCTCCAT